GGACGTCGTCGGCAGCGACTTTGTGTGTTCAACTGTGGCTTCACTGTACTGTCGTCGATTGGAGTAGCTGCGGGTGTGTCGCTGCAGTTGGGATTCCGCCTTTAAAGCAAAATTAATTGCCTGTGAAAGTGACCATATGGAGTTCAATTCAAGTTTGTCTTGGATTGCCTCTTTAAGGCCTCCAATATACCTAGCCACGAGCTGGTTTTCTGATTCATTTAAGTTGTTGCGGGCGCTTAATCGATGAAACTCCTCTGTGTAATCATTTACTGTTCGATTACTTTGTGAGCAATGTTGGTATTTTTGATACAAAATCTGTTCAAAGTCGGTAGGTAGGAAGTGGCCACGGAGGAGTTGTTTCATTCTAAGCCAGCTGCGGACTTGTCCCTTGCCTTCCCGGCGCCGTGACTGCATTAATTGCATCCACCAAGCACTTGCGCCTCCTCTCAAATGGCAAGCTACATACTTCACTTTCTTCTCTTCAGGAATTTCCATGTACTCAAAGAATGTCTCTACCGACCTTTCCCAATCAAGATAGTCTTCTATGTGAAGACGGCCATCAAAATACGGGAGATCAAGCTTCACACGAAACTCTCCAGGACCTCTGCAGCGGTGATCCAAACGTCGCTGGCGTCTGTGACATTGTGGTGGACCTTCATCAAAAGAGTCTGAGCCATCTCGATGTATTCCCATAGCTATCTCCTCCTCCGAATCTGACTCGTCGGCAAGAGGTTGTACCGGACGAATTCGCTCCCGTCCCGCGCCTATATGATGTTGAGGTACCGGTATGGTTGCCGGCACCGGATGTCGGTCGGCATGGATTATGCCTACCGACGTCTTCAACTGCGCCATGTCGTTCCGCATCTCCGTAGAGAACCGAACAAACTCGGCCGTCAGTTCTTCAAGTTGCCGAGTGATGCTAGCCTGAGCAGCCCACAGAGCCTCAGAGTTCTGATCGCCGTCAAGAACCCGCCTAGAACTTCCTTCAGCCATAGCTCTGATACCAATATGGTGTAAAAACCCAAAACGAAGAACCAGAACCAGGACTAACGGGAAGAGCAGAGAGCAATAGAACAGTAAACTTCAATAGAGAGTATATTCATCATCTGTTTTCTTCCTTAGCATTCCTTAGTATATCATAAACTAACTATACTGAAATAAGTAAAAGATACTAAAGGTACTTTAGAAGGATATGTAATAGCAGAAGAAAATAAAAGTAAAGTGCAGGTCCCAGAGGACGTGGAGTGTGCCACTCTGGTTAAAGTGAGCCGCAAGGGTGTTGTAGTTAAGATGGTCCACATCACTTTCCCTTCAGCTTGCTCGCCACTGCACCTTCACACTTTTCTGCACTATTCATTTCTCCCACAGCTTGCTAATAGCACTGTTCAGATTTCATTTGAGACAACTTTCGTACTGCTCTATAAAACGGTTTTTTAGTATAAAAATTTTAAATTTAAGAAATTTTTGTACTAGAAAATTGTTTTAGAAAGCAAGAAGAAAGTCAAACAAGACAGCTTTTTTTTAAAACCGCTTTCTAGTACAAAAAATTTTTAAATTAAAAAAATTTATACGAGAAAATCGTTTTAGGAAGCAACACGAAAGCTGTCCCAAATGAAGCCTCAATCTACTCTACTTTCCACCCGCTTCATCTTCACACCACTTGCATCTCTCTCTCTCTCTCTCTCTCTCTCTCTCTCTCTCTCTCTCTCTCTCTCTCATGTATCCAAATACATGATACATAATTCTCCTTAAAAATTGCCCAAAATCAGTAGGACAACACGAGCTAGTTGGGTGTTGATTTTGACTATTTTGATTGCTTGCATGGTGGCAAAGAAGGAGCCTAATACTATCAAACATCTAAGAAATAAAATCTTCAAATTCATGAAAGATAACCAATATGCTTGTTCATAAATGATAAATTATGGCTTCATTTGAATTCCACTCTTCATACCTACTGGATTTTAAATTTCAGAAGACAGTTTTGGCTTCCAAGCATCTATAGAAAATCAAATGTATTCAGTTTTGCCAACAAACTTTAAGAGATCAAATACATGAGAACAACATGAAAGGGCTTTGTTAATTACCGGTCTGGCATAATGACTATTACTTCGAATAAGTTAACTCCAAACGTTCCTTGAGGTAATCGCCACCGCGGATAGGAGGAAATCTGCAGGGAAAGAAGCATTAGCAGATAATAGAGTGCACTGATACACTTGAAATTTTAGAAAATTGAAAATATATTTAAACAATCTCTGACAAAACAATGAATTTTTATGCAGAAATTAGTTGATCAAGTATTTTTCCCTTGTAAATTGTTTAGGGTTCTGACCAAGAACTTAATTCAACAATCTACAGAATCCAAGGGCTACAGCTGTTGATTTCGTAGAAGAACACGCTTTACATCCATTTTAAAGACAAAATTCTCCCCATCAATCTCCCCAAGCTATAGGTAATTAATGGCTTCAACAAAGGGAGAAATGGAGATAAAAGTTGTGGTTTTTTTAATGAAAATAAATTAAATCATAAATTATGTGACTGAACTTATGACCTTCCAAAAATAATCTTTGCATTTAACTATTATTGAGCCTTGAATCCTTTTAATACAAAATTATGTTCATATGTCGTAAATAATTGAATGAATATTCTAAGAAAAAAATTATGAATTGGAGTAATTATTGTTCGAAGGAAAAATTATTTGTGGGGATGTCCTTAGAAAATGATCAATATCGGGCTTTAATTAGAGCCCTTAGATTTATCTAATTAAAGGAGTATACTGTTAAAAATGTTTAGCTGTTTAACAAAAAAAGGGCTGCCTGCTGATGTGGTGAGAAACATGAAGAAGCAAGTTGAAGAAAAACTAAACAGCTCTTGGAGATCCAAAACAATCAAACTGTTATAAATTTCAAAAATATTCATTCACTCTTTCTTCTTACAACTGACATGTTTATAAGCTACTAAGAAAAAGCCTAGAGAAATCAAGAGCATTCTAGAATCCTATAATAAATTTATAACAAACTAATTAACATATATCTAAGGAACCATTTAACTAAGACTAAGATGCTCTGCATCATCCGCTATCTATAACGTAGTGCAGTTAGCCGTGCACATCATCTCAACTATAGGAAAGTAACTTTTCAAGAGGGTTTTTAATCATCCCATCACAATTGGTCAGACCCTAGAGTGTGCCATCCCCACAAATCAAACTCACTCACCTAAAAAAAAAAAACTCACTCACCTCTCACTCCAAACCCCAGAGTTTGTCACTCCTAGGTAATCCAAAGCTCTAACATAGGTCATCGATGAGTCATTCAAGATGTTTGCCAGTTACAACCTTCTCGGTTTAGCACTCACCAGAAGATTTGCCTATAGCAACTTGTCCTTGTTTGCTTGGCACAACGTTGCCCTAGCTAGACAAATAACATATTTATATATTTTTTTTATTGATATAGCCTTTCTAGTAGCACTTTGATTCCTAAAAAAGTGAAGATAAACATTTTGAATTTTTTCATATTTTTACTATAGATATTTGAACTAGTAGATTTTTTCCTACAGAATTTTTGCTCTCTTTGTCTCCATTCTCACACAAATTCTCAAGTTATACCTTCGAAGCTTGCTTGGTAATAAAGTCTTGTGTTATCTATGAACAAATTTAAATCTAACGTTATACATATGATTATTTGATAATTCGCTTGTAAGAAGATCGAGGTGGCTTCCGTAATAAGAAATAGTCGAATTAATCTATCAACTTGGATATTGAGAAATAATTTAAAATGATACTGCTTTCATAAAGAAAACTGTACTAATTAACAATTAAGAATGCTTTCAGTCATTATATTTTTAACAAATCGATATTTATTTCTTGATTGCCAAGGAATTGAATTATGTATAGTATTTCTTATTAAAATTATAAAATATTCAAATATCAAATCATCATTTAAGATTTTGATTTTGATTTTTTTTTTTTTGCGAGACAATAAAAATATTCGTTTGTTGAAATTTATCATATTTCTAATATTAAATATTTGATACAGAATATAACATTCTGAAAAGTAATATTTATATTACGGTAAGATTTTTTTTTTTTTTTTTTTTGATTTTTTTTTTTTTTATATATATAAGGCGGCAGTAAAACACCTATTGTTTACTCATACTAGTTTGGCCTTTTTACTTAAAACTTTCGAAAGACATCACACATATGTAAAATATGCCAATTAAAATTGAACGCAAAACAAATGGTCTTACGTTGTTTTAAGCTATAGCCAGGTATGCATTTGACTCAGCTTTAGTTTGGGAGAGTTTTTTTTTGCTTTCTAAAATAATTTTTTAGTAAAAAAATCTTTTGAATTAGAAACTTTTGTTGCAACAAAAAATTATCCCAAACAAAATCTCAATCAAATCATGGCATTTGTCAGCTTCTTTTATTTTCTTTAGCCATCACCTGTATTTATATTCATTAAATTAAAGCAAAAAAGAGATTACCAATTCCATATTTCCATGCATTGGCATTTCCGCCAGCAAGCAACAATCAGCAGTCATTATTAATTTAGAATAAAAAATATAAAGCCTTACAATGATTCAAATCATTTGAATGACCATACATACATGTTGATCATATAAATATATTAATTTTATTTGAAAGTTTCAGACCACTGCATGCTAATTAATGAAAAAAATTTTGTCGCATCGGATCATAAATTTACTTAAAAGAGAAGATATTACAAATTAAGATGATAATTTTTTTGCCGGCCTAGCTATGCCTTTGACTTAAACAAATGATCAGATTAACAATGCAGGTCATGCCAGCCTTTGGATACAATTATTCGTTGACCGAGTAAAATCCCAAATGTGCGTGCGCGAAGGCCGTTTCTTCCCTGATCTACTTACTACTATTTATGTACATGTAAGATAAGAAGAAAGAAAGAGCAAGCTACTACAGATATCAGAAGGCACAAAGAAGCTAGCTCAATTAAGACTGCTTGACTATTTGGTGGCAAATGGCAATGGCGGCGTTCTCAAGCCACCAGCTCTTCTTCTTCCGCCTCTTCCTGGCCCTGATCCTCCCCATCGCCACCCGCGGCTCGGAATCAATACTCTACCAACAATGCGAGAAAAACTTCACCAAAAATGAAAAGTTGCAGGACAATATCAACAACGTCCTTCTCGACATGGTCGCCCAGAGTTCTCTTCAAGGCTACGCGATCTCCTCCTACGCCAATAATACCTGCGAATCTGTCTATGGCGTCACACGATGTGAACCAGACATGAGCGTGGAAGAATGCTCTGCTTGCATCACCGGCGCAGCTCAGAAGATCCGAACCTCCTGCCCTGATTCGGCCGAGTCTCACATTTGGTATGAAAATTGCTTCCTTCACTACGACACCACCAACTTCATCGGCAAGGCGGACAAAAGGTACGGCTCTGTGTGGTTTTCGTTTTACGCTGCTGCAAATCCCAAGGCATTTGAACAAGCACTAGGTGAGCTAATGGGGGAGGTGATTGCGGAGACGGTGCAAGGGAGGAAGAAGTTTGGTTACGGGGAGAATTATGCGAACGAAATTAAGCTGACCGTGTATGGAATGGCACAGTGCACGCGGGACCTTGGGGAGAGGGAGTGCAACGAGTGCCTGGAAGAAGGGTTGGAAATTATGACAGATTTGTGCAGAGAGCAGGTGGGTTGCCGTTTCTTCGGTAGCAGCTGTGCGATAAGGTACGAGATCTACAAGTTCTCCTCCTTCACTTCTACGGATGATGGTGCTGCTGCGCCTGCTCCATCTCCTTCGATAATCTAAATCAGCTATTATATGCGATCGATTGATGTCATGATGTGTGTGTTTGTCTCTTAATTAAGTAGTCGTTTGTGATCGATCTGCGTCATGTTTCAGTACTGTTTCCACCATTAAATTGTTCTCTCATTCTGTTTTGAATATATTAGTTCGATCACTTTGTTTGATTTAATATGATTGTTTCTCATGTTTTCATTCGGTATTAATGACGTAACGTTTGGAAGAAATTCAAATTTTATCTCGTTGATGTTTTTGTACTGTTTTTGCAAGATTACACTCACAGATTTATATTAATTATGTGGACGAGAAATTATTCTGTGCGGAGATCGGACGCAGAGCTCCGTCCGAAAACCAACTAGAATGTGTCACTTCAGCAATACAGATACCGAGCGGTACCGAGCAGTACCGAGCAAGTGGTGACATGACACATTCTGATTAGTCTCAAAACGACATTTGGCATCCGCACAAAATAATTTCTCTGCATGGACGCCTTCTTTTAATTTTTCATTTGCAAACTGTATGATTTTGCAGCTGGTGATGTCCGATTCTGGTGTTTTAGAAAAAATAAAAAATGATAAGGTTCATCAAAGATATATATAAAATTTTCTGTCTGAAATTATATATCTTTTTGTTGTTTCTATCGTTCTGGGCCGAGCTCAACAGCCAATTCAGCTTACGCTATTATGAAGATATGAAGCTTTGAGCTAAAATTAAAATAAATTAAAACCATCAATTATCTTCAATCTAATAATATATTTAATTAATTTTAAGCTAAATAATTAAAAAAGAAGTATCATAAATTCATTAAGAAAAATTGAGGAAAAATAAACCAAATTGTGAGATTTACAAATTTAATGCAATTAAAATTTACAAATTTGTCAATAATAGCCATAAATTATCTAAAATATATCCCATAATAAAAAAAATTATTATTACCACTAACTATTGATTCGAGTTAAGAAATAAAAGAACTATGATTTAATATTGTAATAAATGATTATTTAACAGTAATACCATAAAATTTGTAAAGCAGATAGACAAAATCGACTTTCTTTTTTCTTAATTTAATTTTTAAAGAATCATTACACTTTTTTTTATTATAGGTATTTTAGATTTTTTTAAAAAAGCTCATTATTTTCATACAAAAGAAAATAATGAATTTATTAATAATTCATTAAGCATAACAATATATTGATATTAATCCCAGTAACTTTTATCTTATGAATTAACTATTTTTTTTAACTCATTTTAGATTTTAAGTGTAACATTTTTATGTAATGTTTTTAATGAATAAAACTTTTGCATATTTAAATTGATTCTTCTTTCTTAAGAAAAATTGTGCTTCTCTCGATGTAAAATTAATATAAAAATGCTCTCAATTATTATATATTTTTTAAAAAATATATATTTTTGAAGCTTTTTTAAATCTTTATTTAACTTTTTTCTTAAGGAAAAATAGTATTTGATTAGATACATATGTTATGGAATTTAAAAAGGTTATTTTCTTCATTAAATATTTATGTAATGAATCATTTTTGGATTGTCGAGAAAATGAATTGCATGTATAATTTGAATATGGAAGTATTTAATTATCAATTAGTATTTTTATTAGGTAACAAACTTACAAATTCTCTTTCTTATATAGCTCATTTTAATTTATTGGTTGAAAATTTTGGTTATTAATAAAGAGATCTTTAGTTCGAATTTGTATAAATATTGTGTATGTGAATTTATCTTAATTGACCTAAATATTAAAAAAAATCAAACATGATGTACGTGTTTGGCATCGCAAGATGCGAACCAGACATGAGCAGGAAGCATGCGCTTTTTGCATTGACACCGGACAAGAGGGTCGATAGCTCCTCGTCGACGATCCGGTGATCGTGGCCGAGCACAATCCTTGGGGAAAGCATCTATCACATGAAATCAAATCTTAGGATATAGGATTCAAAGCAATGAGGAAACAAGGCTACAATTTATTATTCTTCAAAATCATGCCACTTACAATATTGTCTACATATTTATAGACAAATGTAGTAATATAATAGGCTACACCCAACATAGCCATACAAACTACCATATGAAATTACTATAGCCTGAAGTTAACAGGATTAAGCAGCTCAGCTCTGGAGTCATTTAGTACAGTAATACAAACTACCGAATGGCTCAAGCAAGCACTGGCAGAGCAAGAATTATTTATTTGCGATGGCACAAATTTCTAATTTGAAAAATACTATCAACTTTTTTCATTCGAGCTTGAAATTATCATTAGGGTTTTAACTTTTTGTTGGCTTAATTACATGGAATTGGAGATTTTAAAATAATTAAAAAAATAGATGAAATTTTTAATTAAAAAAACTACTTGATATATTCTCAAAAACTTATCTTGATTGGGCACGAATCTCGATGCAAAACCCAATCCGAAACTTCAGAAATTGACTCTGGATACATGCGAACTCGCAAATCGACGGGGGCGAGTGGCGACAACAAGACCTGTGCGAAGTTCTTGTGCGGACGGGCTGGCGGCGACAACTTGACGGGACCGCTCTCCGCTGCTGCTTTCTAAGTTCCTGTGCGAAGTTCTTGCCACGCCGCTGGTTTCTTCTCCTTCTGAGCTCTAATATTCTTCTCCTTCTGATTTCTGAAGCTGATTTTTTGATGTTATAGTTTAAGGCTTCAAGCACCGATCTTTAGTATCAATATTCATGTTTCAACCGTTAGCTAATACCTAATGGCAGGCATCATTTTCATCTTCATTAGATCAATATTCATTTAGAAAGATCCATTAGACTTGATCTTTAGATATTAAGGAAGGAACGTATATCTGTAGTGACTTGTGAAAACATAATTAATTTTTGAAGAAGAAATACAAATAGTAAGCTGTAAGCCCAGGCAAAATCCGAAAAGCAGGAAAATTTTCATGTCCTTCCAGACTTTAAGTTTCACCAACGTAGCATCAGCTACATATCTATTTGATTTTTTCAATTTATATATAAAAATAAGTTCGTTGAACTCAACTTGAATTCCAACTAGAGCAAAGCCAAAATCAAATGTCTGAAGTTTTAGTTGAGGTTGTCTGGGATGAATGACTGTTTACTTATGTTAAAAATGTAATCGTATGGGACTCTGGGATGAATGACTGTTTATTTACTTATGTTAAAAATGATATATTTAATAGTATTGACAATGACTTGATTGTACAACGATTTCAAAAAAATGAAGATTCGGCAGGAGAAATTATAGATGATAGTTGATAGATAAGAAGAATATCAAGATTTAGTTTTCTCAATTGTAAGTTTTTTTTTTATTTATCATATATTTTATCTTTTTATAATGAATCTAATGATTAAAAAAATTAAAAATCGACTATATCGATCCCAAGCCCGAATGAAAAAATTTGAGATTTTTTTTTTACTTTAATGATTTGTGCCCCCACACGAAAAAAATCCTGGCTCCGCCCCTGCTTTGAGTTATGCATAAAATGCATATCCAATATATTAGGTAAGTCCCGTCTTGCTTTAACTAACTTTGAGGCAAAACTCTTAAACTACTAGCACTAAGAGAAAGCCTTAAGATTAATAGCTAGCCTTGAAATATTTTAGGGGCTGCTAGCTTTGTGTGAGTGCTTTTATTAGCGAGGTAAGGAACTTCAAATTCTCTGAGCCATTAGATAACAAAGCTATCAACATAAGACTATGAGAGTTATAGGCTCATCCATCAAATGATGTTGAGGTAAACAGATGCATTGGCTGTAAAGTTCGATCAGACTCAAAATTTTGTAAAATAAAATATCATCAAAAAATAAAAAATGTGCATCTATGCCTTTTATCTATGATATGTCATACAAAAAATTATCTTGATTACAAATCTCGAGGCAAAATCAAGTTTGAAACATCCAAACTAAATCGGAGATCATTCAAACTTCGATTTCAGCAAACTTATGGGCAAACTAAATGACTCAGAATTACAAATGCAACGACACTAAATTCAACTCAATCTGAGCCCTAATGGATCCAAATCGAAGACCCGAAGTGCATTTGAAAAGTTCAAACCATAAATCGGATGACTAAACTATTTTCAAACTAATATGCTTATAGTTGAATCGAGCAGCTCGACGAGACAAATCCAACGAGTCCAAGATCCCCAAATTTTGATATCATTAAAATATTCAAATGCGCAATAAATAATTCACGATCAATAGAATCAACATCGACTGTCCATTCAAACAACTTCCAACTTCTCCATGATCTCCTTCGTATTTATTGGTCATATCACTGTCAAAATTTTTAAATTAACCCCTCATTTCGCATGGAATGGAACTCACATAAGGAAGAGAAGAAAGATAATGAACAGAAAGAAACTAAAGTTCTCTTGCCACCAGACTCCTCCTCGACTAGGATATAAGTGCATCATAATTTATATATGCAAACTTTCGTGTTATTCATTTGAAGATATTTGTCAAATAACTTTCCAATAGCAAAGATGATGTTTCTAGTTAGTAAAATGTCGTATTAATCGGATACAAGAAAATCTAAATGAGAACCACGAAAGACTCATGGACAATTATTTTAATGTATTCTAGCATTTCATATAAGATGGTAAACAAAAGTATTTTAATTTAGGGTCCCCTGAATAATTTTTTTGGCTCCGTCACTAATGACATGTCCTAATTCGCCTCAAAATAATCTCCGATGACCGCAAGTAATAATTTCAAAGCCACTAGCCCCAATGTTTGGGAGCCCGGCTGCCCGGGTCTGTTCCATCTTTAGGCCAAGTACGATTGAATACAGCTTTCAAGATTTGTCTGTGCAGTTAGCACCGGACAGATTATTAAAACCTCTAATTTGATCAAGAACAGCGAAAGAGTGCATAAATTCTAACAACGTACGCTGGTCGCCATATCCACACAAGTAGAAAAATCGATACTCGATAATAATCAACACATCCTATTTCACCGTGATCGGGGCGGCAAGTTCTATCTAATTTATAGTAGCTTGGAAAGCGGACGTACGCAGTGTTCGTCGTCGCTCCACCCAATGATGAGCACCTTGAAGATTTCTCTTTCTTTTGGCTGTATATAAAGGCCTTGCGATGCATTCTGCAATTACAAGTGAGCAACGTCGCAGCGAATTAGCAAGCCCAAAATGAAGGTCTTTTTCTCCTTCCTTCTCCTTATTACTGCCCTTAGCGCCACCTCCCGAGCCGGGAACATAGCCGTTTACTGGGGTCAATCGGACGACGAAGGATCCCTCGCCGATGCCTGTGCCACCGGAAACTATGCCTTCGCCATCGTATCCTTCCTCTGCGTCTTCGGAAACGGCCAGACTCCTGAGCTCAACCTCGCCGGTCACTGTGATCCCGCCTCCGGTGGCTGCACCGGCATAACGGATGACATCAATGCTTGCCAATCACAGGGCGTGCAGGTCCTCCTCTCCATCGGCGGAGGCGCTGGATCCTACATCCTCACCTCCGACGACGACGCACGCCAGGTGGCCGACTATATCTGGAACAACTACTTAGGCGGAGAGTCCTCGTCAAGACCCCTCGGCGACGCGGTGCTCGACGGAGTGGACTTCGACATTGAGGGAGGAAGCCCAGACCACTACGACGATCTCGCAAACTACCTCTCTTCCTACAGCAACCAAGGGAAGAAGGTATACCTGACGGCGGCGCCACAATGCCCTTATCCCGACGCTTGGGTTGGCAGAGCACTCGACACCGGCCTCTTCGATTACATTTGGGTTCAGTTCTACAACAACCCGCCGTGCCAGTTTTCGGATGGAGAGCCGAGCAACCTCCAGGACGCTTGGAACCAATGGACGACGGGGATAAAGGCGAACCAATTCTTCTTGGGTCTGCCGGCGGCGCCGGACGCGGCCGGGAGCGGGTTCATCCCGACTGATGAGCTGACTTCTCAGGTGCTTCCCGGCCTGAAAGGGTCGAGTAATTACGGAGGAGTGATGCTGTGGTCAAGGTACTATGATATCCAGACGGGGTATAGTCAAGCCATTCGATCTTCTGTTTGAAAAATGTCTACTTTACTGAAAGTGTTTGTGTGGGCGTTTTGTTTTGTTTGCTGCGTTGGTGAAAGTCTTCATTGTACTGCACAGATTCTGCAATATATGTATTGTTCGTAGTATATTAATACAATATTAATGTATTTTTTTTGGGGGAATTGAAATCACTCGTGCAAATAATAATAGTATATAAATGCTTTTAATATATATTAACATTTAAGATTTGAAATACAAATTTATTATAAATATCTAACAATTATATCTCATTTTCTTAGATTAAGTTATTCTTTATCATTATTATTTAAAATTTTCAGCTTTAATCATCTTATCATAATAATTACTTAAATTGGAGTTGTTTTCTTTGTTTCATATTTAATGAGTCGGCTTGAACTCATAGAATAATGATCAAGCTCGGGCTTAAACTCAATTGATTAATCAAATTCAAGCTCAAGCCTAAGGTGAGCCTAGCTCGGCTCGGCTTGGTGTACTTCTTTACACCCCTACTTTATGGTGTCCTCCATATTACATGAAAAATTATACTGACTACATAATTATTTTTTCAAAAAAAGAAAAAAATTATAAAAGAAGTGTGCTTAATTGATAAATAATGATATAGTTCTCTATGAACAATAAAATCATCATTAATTTTTCCATAAATTTACACTGAACTTGGGCTTCATTTGTGACAACTTTTTAGTATAAAATTTTTTAATTCAGTTTTTCTTTTACTTGGAAGTTATTTTAGAAAGAAACAAAAAATTTGTCTCAAACGAAGCCTAATGGCTTGTTTGGGACGGCTTGTTTACTGTTTATTAAAATAGTTATTTTTGTACGAAAATTAAAATTTTTATCTTAAAAAGTTATTTTAGGAAACAATAAGAAAGTCATCCCAAATGAAGTCTTAGTGACAAAATTATAATTAATGAGAAATAATAAAATAGTTTGGACTAGTACAAGTATTACATAATCTCCTTTGTTGATTTTTTATATTATTAGAATAATAATAATATTTCGAGCAATAATTAAATGATAAAAGAGATAATAACCACACCAAAGATTACAAAAACAGGAGACAGAAATTATTAAATTTAATATAATTAAGATTGTATTATTATTAAGTTATGATAATTAAGCATTAGTTAATTAATTAACCAGCTAATTGCTTCGCTCAGGTGAAAATATTCAATTAAATTTGAGTGAATTATAAAGTTGACCTGTCTTTTGAGTTGGAGGCGGAGGAATTACAATAATTTGGAGAGTTGGTGGAACTCCAACAGCGATTGTCGAAAGTCTGACGGCAGTTAGCAACCGGCCTGTAGTGTGGTGGAAGTCTAATAGGGATTGAGCAGACAAAGATCCATTCATGTAGAGAGTGGGAGTCTATTTATAGCTTTTTTGTGAGTGACACGCCGCATAAATATGGAGTAGATCCATGATAGATTTGGAGCGCTCCATCAGACGGCCCGTACAGATTCCCCATATCATAGAGTCTTTTTCAGCCGTTTAAGTGGCTTAATGGTGTTGAAATTGAGAAATCTTATGCTTGTTGGATTTGTCTCGTAAAGCCGCTCGATTCGGCTATAAGCATGACATATTTGGATATCATTTGACCATCCAATTAATGGTTTAAACCTTCCAAATATGCTTAGGTCCCTTGATGTAGTACCGGTTATAGGTTAAGTATTCAATAACAGGGGAACATCTTACAAACGGCTAACAAACTTTTATTCCCCACTACCTCACTTTCTGTTTTGATAGTTTGTTACTTTTTAGTACCTTTTTACTTATTAGCTAAAAGATGGAAATAGAAGAATTACATATAGGTGAAAGAAGAAGAGGGAGTCAGTTTTTTTGTTATCTTTACACAAGAGTTATTACTCAACAGAATACAGAGAATACAGAGGTATTTCTCTATCCCGTTGTTTTTCCTTTTGCTATGCTTGTTAACTTGTCTTCCAGGTTCCATCGGTCCTGTACTGATAATGTACATGACACGTCAGCATTAGAGTCTTTATTAATTCTTGTTCCTGTACTTACTTTTGGGTATGTTTCTCTATATATAGCAATAGACGTCCTGTAATACGTTGAGTCACTTCAATTCCATTTCTAGTTTTCCCTGCTCCTCTCTTCTTGCCCTTTCGTTATCATGGTATCAGAGCCACATCGGGCTTAGGTATCTCCGGTCATCTTCCTCATGGCCGATCAAGCCTCCACCGCCTCCAATCAAGAAACCTCAAAAATCTCTGCTTCTCTTGAAGATTTCGTGGTTCCCAACCCTCTCAAATTTCTCATCTCTAATCTGAAGAACCTTGTTCCCACCCTTCTTACCAACGACAACTACTCCATATGGCATCTTCAAATGCTTCAGCATTTCACGACTAACGGCTTTAGCGGTCATCTCACAGGCATCTCCACCTGTCCGCCAGCTTCATCAAAAAACGACCACAAGCTCTAGAAACTTATTGATAGAAATCTCATCTCGGCGCTTCTCTCCACCATATCTGCCTCGGTAATTCCTTATGTCATAAATCTTACCACGGCACATGAGATATGGCTGGCCCTTGAAACTAGGTTGCAACCAACAAACCGTTCTTGAGTTATCCAACTCAAGAACGAACTTCATCAAATTCAAATAAAGGAAAGATCGATGCAACAATACTTGACTCAAATCAAGAACCTCGTCGACAACATTGCAGCCGCGGGATCAACGCTCGACACCGAAGATATTATCTTATACATCTTGAACGGTCTTTTGTCTAGCTACAATTCCTTCAAAACGGCTATAAGAATGTCGTTGAATCTAATCTCTCTGGATGTTCTTTATTCGCTGCTATGCAGTGAAGAAATAAACATCAAGCAAGAACAGTCTCGCGAAATGCATTCGGTGTCTGAGAACATGGCTCTACTGACTGTTCGAAACAAATCCTCACTAGGTCGATTTAATCAATCCCAACAACGACAGTCTACTTCGCGTCCCAACCTTAACAATGACAATCAAGCTCCACAAAATAATGCATCTCAATCTCGACCGGTATGCCAGATCTGCGGAAAGACCGATCACACAGCTTTAAATTGTTGGCATAGATACAACCTTCAGTACGCACCATCGCTCAACAACTGCTTCAATCCGCTGGCTTTGCAACATGCAAACCTGCCTCCACTCCTATGTCCCTGAAGCGATCCTATAAGAAATCCACAAACACGCCATTCTCCGATCCGCATCTATACCGGAAACTCACAGGTTCGCTTCAATACTTGTCTATAACTAGACCCGATATTTCTTTCACTACTAATTATATATGTCAACGCATGCATCAACCGACTATCAACGACTTCCAAGTCCTCAAAATGCTACTTCGTTACATTCAAGGCACCACTCATCTAGGAATTCCTATTGAACCCGGCGATCTTCAACTTTGGGCATTCGCGGATGCGGACTGGGCGTCAGACAGTGCAGACCGACGGTCTATTTCAGGATATTGCACCTTCTTAGGAGCCACCATTATATCATGGTCAGCAAAAAACAGGCCACGGTCGCAAAATCATCAACCGAAGTGGAATATCGTTCCGTCTCAGCTGCCACTTCAGAAGTTCTATGGCTCAAACGGCTGTTAGCCGAACTACACATACCGCAAACATCTCCAACAACTATTTACTGCGATAATACATCCGCAATTGCTCTGGCTCACAATCCAGTTTTTCACGCCCGAACAAAGCATATAGAGATAGACTATCATTTTATCAGCAATCACATTAAGGCAGACGAACTCAATGATGCGGAGCACTTTAGTACCGAACCTCTATCTTGCTCATGCAGGATAAGTTATCTTACTGCTTTAGTTAGTTACAGTTTCTTCTCCACTTACTCTGATTATGCTACTTTTTATGCCTTAGTACAGGGTAGCACTTTTTAGTTGTTATTTCAGTTTTAGTAAAAGGCGTGTGGCCTTATAGTTGTCTTGGTTGTAAGTTTTGGACACTTTTTGATATTCCACATAAACGAATTGAGCTCCGCAGCTTGCGAAGCTTGCACTGTTCCATTGAATTCTCTGTTCTGCTTGTGCTTCTACCTTGATCCTACATCACTCAACATCTCTCACATTAGTTCGATCGATCAAGTCGTTGACATTCTGACTAAACCACTGCCTGAAGATCGGTTTCTTCTTCTACACAGCAAACTAACCATCTGCTCTAAAGATGTTTAGTTTGAGGGGGCATGATAATGTACATCACACGTCAGCATTAGAGTCTTTATTAATTCTTGTTCCTGTATTTACTTTTGGGTTTGTTTCTCTATATATAGCAATAGACGTCTTGTAATACGTTGAGTCACTTTAATTCCATTTCTAGTTTTCCCTGCTCCTCTCTTCTTGCCCTTTCGTTATCATGTACAAGGTATCATCCCTTAGTTTGATCACATTTGGCCGGGCTGGGATCAGACTGATTTTTGTGTTGTTAAAAGTTTTTAATTCGGACATTCCGTTAGATTCGTGCCGGATCAAGATAACTTTTGATGATGTATCAATACTTAATTCCTTTTATTATATTTCTTTTACTTGAATTTTTTTCAGCAAATCAAACTGGCGATACGGACGTCCATTGACATATTTTATCACTATTCGAATGCAGCGATGGTTTCCTAATCCAATTAAATAAGTACTCAGATTCTAACTGCGTACGCTTTTAAACTTCTATCTAACCCTTTCTACTTAACTAACTAATCAAACCTCAAAGTCAAAACAAATGTAATTATAAGCCACTTATCTGCATGATAATGAATAATTAGCCAACGTAATCCTTCTTCCACGATTCTGCCATTGCTAAGCGTCCTACACATCCGAATCCAATCAGACACTCAACAACTTGGAAATTCTGTATAAATTTCAGTCAGGCCGGCAATGGCGCTTAACCAATTGCATTCAAATCAATGGCTTCATCATCTGCATCGATTACCTCTAAAAAATCCTTTATTTGCCTTCTCCTACTCCTAGCTGCGGCCCCTTTCCCCACCTCCCAAGCCGGTAAAATCGCCATCTACTGGGGCCAAAACGGGAATGAAGGCACCCTCGCCGACACTTGCGCTTCCGGCGACTACGGCTACGTCCTTCTCTCCTTCCTTTGCTCGTTCGGTAACGGCCAAACTCCGCAGCTCAACCTCGCCGGCCACTGCGACCCTTACTCCAATGGTTGTACTCACCTTAGCAGCGACATCAAGTCATGCCAAGCTAAAGGCATCAAAGTCCTTCTCTCCATCGGCGGCGCCGCCGGCTCTTATATCCTCACATCCCGAGACGACGCCCGTCAGGTCGCCACCTACATATGGAACAACTATTTAGGCGGCCAGTCCTCCAAACGGCCACTTGGCGACGCCGTGCTCGACGGCGTGGACTTCGACATTGAAGGCGGAAGCCCCGACCACTATGATGACTTGGCCAACTATCTCTCCGGCTATAGCAAACAGGGCAAAAAGGTTTACCTCACGGCGGCCCCGCAATGCCCCTATCCGGACGCCTGGATGGGCAAAGCTCTGGACACCGGCCTCTTTGACAATGTCTGGGTTCAATTCTACAACAACCCGCCATGTCAGTTTTCTGATAAGCAGCATTTGGGGGATTTGATGGATGCGTGGAAGCAGTGGACAAAGTCGACGAAGGCGGGGAAGATCTTTCTCGGCTTGCCAGCGGCGCCGGATGCGGCCGGGAGCGGCTACATTCCTCCCGGTGAGCTTAGGTATATTGTGCTTCCGAGGGTTCAGGAATCGAGCAAATATGGCGGCGTGATGCTGTGGTCTAAGTACTATGATGATCAGAGTGGTTACAGCAAATCCATTCTCCCCGACGTTTGAAGACTCCATTGACATGCTGCTGCTGCTATTGCCTGTGTAAACTAAACTGTGTTCTCTGATGAAAATATTCTAAACAATTGGGCGGATTATGTTCTGAACCATATAGTGATCAGTCTTTCTCACTTTGATTGCTTTAACGTACTATGATTTTTTTTAAACATTTGGATGAATTAAGATAAATTTATACAAATCATTATTAGTCAAACTCAAGATCCTTCATTAATAATTAAAGTTCTATCCACCTTTGCTTAATTTAGTTGGTGGTCGAGTAGGGTTGGAAAACCCTCAACCCGTGTTTGATTCTTCTTAAGCTGCAGCACCTCTTAAGTGGAGCCCAATCAAATGCGGGTCAAGAGGTTTCTAGGATGAGTACCTTTTTTAGGTCAACCGAGTATTAGTTACGCCGGCAAGCGCCCTTTGAGGGTGGCAGCGGGTGAAAATAAAAAAAAAAAAATTAAAGCTCTCAAATCAGAAGATCAAGATGAGCTATTTAACATACTATGATTTATCATAAATTATTTTTGATTAAATTATTATATGTACAAATATATTATATATATACAAATATATTTTTTAATCATAAGAACTGAATATTTTTTTTTTTACCTTTAAGAAAATAGATGGGGTAACTTGGGTAAATTACTATATTTTCTAAAAAGAAGACTGATATTTTTGTTTTTTTTAATAGATATGAGAATTTGTGACATATATCATGATTTATCATTTAATAATAATTTCTAATTAAATCTCTTTGTATATTTAATTGTATATTTAAACTGAATTTTGAATGAAATGATAATCATTTTTAATTATTTGATTTTTATAATGAATAATGATTACTAGTAATATAAGTAGAACAATTATCATAGTTTAAAATCATCAATCATTATTTATTAGGAAAATTAATTTCCCCTTAAAGATTTTAACTCACATAATTTCATATAAAATAAGTCTTTTTTTTTTTTTGTTATTGGCGGGCTCTATAATTTTGACAATTTATTGCCCTTCTAGTGTAAACTTAGGTTTCGTTTGAGATGATTTTTTTATTGCTTCTTAAAGCAGTATTTTAGTAAAAAATTTAAATTTATGTATTATAAAGCTGCTTTAAGAAGCAGTAAAAAAAACCGTCCCAAACGAAGCCTTAAATATCAATCCCCTTGGAACCCCCTACTGATAAAATTTGTATTTATTGGAAAGTAATTTGCAATGTTGTTGTTTTAGCTAAGAGGAATTTATACTTTAATATCTCTCCCCAAGGCTTTATTTCATTAATATGGGATCATTGATGTTTTGACAACTCTCTTAATGATTTATTAGATCCCTTTTGCACTACTCTATTCTCTCATAATTGTTCTTTAAGCTCCATTATTTCTAGTAATGTTTGGCATCTTTCCTTCTGACTTCTTGCCTTATGGTTCTTCTTGTTTTGGCTGCTGCTTCTCGCTTTGATCTTTTGTTGCTTATTTGATGCGTGAGAGTTTAATTTTTCATAGGAGAATTTTTTTAAGTCCTATTCCATTTGTAAGATCGACATGGCAGCTAGGTTTTCTTCCTTAGACAATAATCTCTTTAATTAGGGAGTGGCTGAATTTTTATTTCTTAAGAGTCTTTTTGTACAGTTTGAGTCCATCATTTTATTCATTTACTTAATGTATTTTGAGCTAAGGCAATACCTTTTTGATGCTACTCTCTATCTTGTATTTTTTTTTTTACATAGAGTTGTTTTTTTTGTTTTTATAAAATGTAATTTATGTTTATAGTCAATGAAATTTGACTAAGGCTCTATAATTTTTTTTTTTAAAAAAAAGAGAGCAAAGGAACATACCTGATTGGGTCTATCAAAATTTCAATTATTTAATTACTTACTATTTAATTATTTTATAATTATTAATTATTTAATGAATTTTGTTATTATTTTATTGCAAAAAATATAACTTTTAATATGACTTATCTAGGGTTTGCTTTTCCACTACTTCTTTGTTTGGACTTCGCCTAGTGTCGAGTGAGGTAGAGCTTCGAATTAGTCGCCAAAAAGCTTCTTCCCTCCTTTGACGAGTGTTACCTTTTCCTGCCAAGTCGAAAGTCACGAAATATGGACAACGCTCTACTTCACCCAGGGGCGGAACCTCATAATATTATGATATTTAGGTAATTGCCCCCTGTATAATTAAATACATTATGTAGAGGTGTTTGCCAGTGAATGATAAACCATATATAAAGAGAAATAACAAATCACAATTTGTTCCAGGCGCTGCCCCCAGAAACCCCCACAGGGGCGCTGCCCCTTGACCCGTTACCTGACTGGGCAAGTCGAACCCCGCTAGGGGGTGCTGCGCACTTGGAGCCCCGATATATCTGTCAACTGTTACTTATAAGTTTGTCCCTCCTGAAAATTATAGCTGGTTCCGCCCCTGACTTCACCTCCTTCAACGACGAGGGAGTTTGCTCGTTGTGTTGGTAATTATCTTTCTCTCCTTTGAGCGCTTCTTCAGTCGAATTCCTTATATCCATGTTAATCCGAGGAGCAATAGTAGGATTTACTATAAATTCTGCTTCAAATTTGATACCAAACATCCCCTTTGGAGCCTGTTTCGCAACAAGTAGTATTTAACTTTAAATGATTTAATAAATATTATAAATCCAGATTTAGTAAATCTTGATGTTGTTAAATTCAAAAAACTGTTTTGCAAGATAGGTGATAAAATTTGTTAAATCCTGTGGAATTGTTTGGCAATGTAATTAAGGATTTAAAGTAGTTAGTTCATTTAAAATTTAAATTTATTATATTTTAAATTTAATTTACGTGTTAAATGTGAGTTATTTATTAAATTTAATTTTACTTAACGTAAATAAGTTATAATGATAAATTATAATACTCTTAGAAGCTAGCTTAATTATACTAATTATACTATTTTTAATTATTTTTACTACTAATAATTTATATTATCGATCAATTTTAACTAAATTAGTTAATTCGCATGACTAACACCCTCTTGATTTCAAGAATTTCTCTGTTGTCTTCGCATTAGTCGTAGGCCTAGGGTTTGCTTTTCCTCTTTTCAAGTAGTTCTACTTCGTGTGTGTTTCGTATGAGAGGTAAGGTTGAATGATTCACTTCTTCATCTCCTTCGAAGACGTTCCTTCATGTCGGATCGAAAAGTCATGACAGCTGGTCGTTCTTCTATTGGATCAAAAGTAACAACGACAACGGTTGGAGGTCGCTCGTTGCGAAGGTAACTATTTTCTCCCTTTCGCACACTTCTTTGGCCAAATCCCATTAATCCGCCGAACTTCCCCGATTTATCTGGGATTTATCGCAAAAAGATGGCAACGACGAATTTATTCCGCTGTGAGATTTATGCCGAGTTGAAATCCTGTTTAGCCAGATTTATGCTAAATCTTGTTGCCAAACAACCTCAACAACTGGGATTTAACTTTAGTGAGATTTACTAAATCCTATAAATCCGAATTTAGTAAATCATGAGGGTATTAATAATATATATTTTAAGATATATCAAATAAGCTAATTATATTAATATTTAATTAATAATTATTCAATTATGTTAAATTAGATTATTAATGTATACACTAATTATCATATTAATTATTTAATTAATTCACTCAATTATTAATATTTTAAATTATATAAAGGGAGATTTACATACATACCACTTAATACTATGCTATTTACATATTTAACACCTAAAACTTTAATATTACATAATAAATTTAAGTTAATCAATAATAACTTAGAGGCGTTAGGGTTTGCGTTTCATCTTCTCTTTTCGTCGTTGCTGATCGGCTTCGTTACTTGGCAGGAGGTGTAGAGCTTGCACGCGTCGCTTCTTCGGCTCCTTCGTGGCTGTTCGACTTCGCTCCTTCGACGATTATCCCTTCCTGTCGGATCGGAAGTTACGACATTTTGATTGGAAGCAACAACGGAAGCTCGCTGGCTGTGAAGGTAACTTTCTACCTTTCGCGCGCTTCTTTCGGCCAAATCCCATAAATCCGCCGAGCCTAGGGATTTAGTAAATCCGGGATTTAAGCCGTGAATCCTCAAATCCGGGATTTAGCCATCGCCGGGATTTAACGCTCGCACAAAAACCGTTTGGCTGGATTTAGCGTAAATCCAACTTTTTTTTTTTAACTTCACAAAATTGAACTCTGTTTTGATAACAAATGTGAACAAGTTTATTTTCTGTCCCTGTTCTGTTAAATGAAAATTGCCATAAAATTATATTTTTTGCATTAGCTAGTAAGCATCCATTTTTCTATCCTGAGGTCGTGGATTATAAAAAATGACGAGCATAGAAAATACAGCTTGAAAGAAGGTTTTAGTCATAATTCCCTGCAATGATGATCATGCTCGATTTGTACGCCTTGCTACATTGAGGGCGAGATCAGTATCAATCTTGAGAGAAATGTCAAGCGCCTTCATTGAATGTGTCAATGCTCCGTTAGAAATGTAGGTGACACCAGTTTCTCCAATTTTCTTCACAGTTTCAAGCGAAACATTTCCAGAAGCCTCAGTCTCAAATCTTCCATCAATCATTTCAACGGCCTCTTTAAGCATGGTTACATCAACATCCCCATCAGGCAGGGGAATCACCATATTGTCCAACATTATTCGAGTTAATGAGCACCTGTGATGCCGAAGCTACTCCGTCGATCACTGGCTACCTGCAAGAGATTGAAACAGAGGAAAAATATGCAAGTGCAAGAAGCAATGGAACAGTAAAACTTTCTTCTATATTCTTCAATGCTTGCTCTTGCCGTAACAAGGCTACTTCTACCTTCTTGGCTTTGCTACTAACAGCCCTACACGTGGAAAGTACTGAAAAGTAAAATAACTAACTAAAGAAACGAGTAAAGTGGAGCACATGCCCACTAACGCCTAAGCAGACGCAATAAGCAGTAAATATCATGATTAAAATAATAAAAGGGTAATTATCTGGAATGCCGATGACTGCATCCAAGGATGTAATGTCGTGCACCGCATCATTCGCCCCCACTTTCAATAGAATCTATGTCAACATATTCGAAATCCGCATCACCGTCATCAGGGGGAGTAAAAGGGTGAATATCTGCGTGAGGTGCTAAATTCACTTGGTAAATCGACGACATAGGCATTGTCGTTGATTTTTCTACTGATAGGAAAAGGACCCCATTTTTTTCTTGTAAGCTTAGAGTGATTTCCCGGTGGTAGACGCAAGCGAACAAGAACCAAATCTCCTGGCTGAAATAATTTCTCCCTTCGATGAGAATTTGCAGCTGCTTTATACTCTTGGTTCGTCTCCTGAAGATTTCGTTTGACATCAGCCAATAGCTGAGTAAATTGGTCCGCCAATGCGTTTGTAGCTTTGTTTTGGATCTTCGGTAATACTGCAATGTCAAGAACAGTATTTGGCATCTTAGTATATACTATATTGAACGGACACATACCGGTTGATCGGTTTGTCATTGAGTTAAATGCAAACTCAGCGTGGGCCAAAACTTCATCCCAAAGAGTTGGGTGTTCTTGTACTAAACAGCGAAGTAAATTGCTGAGGGTGCGGTTGACGACTTCTGTTTGTCCGTCGGTTTGAGGATGATACGAAGAACTCAGCTGAATTTTTGTATTCAATTTCTTCCACAGTTCCCGCCAAAAATGGCTTATAAACTTCACATCCCTGTCCGATGTGAGGCTCCGCGGAATGCCATCGAGGCGCACAACCACCTTAAAGAATAACTTGTCAATATTGAGGGCATCAAACGTCTTTTTGCAGGCGATGAAATGAGCCATTTTGGAGAAACGATCCAGATGGAATCATTGCCGCGTTTGGTTCTCGGAAGACCCAAGACGAAATCCAGACTTAAATCTTCCCAGATCGTCTCCGGAACCGGTAGGGGTAAATACAGGCCAGTGTTCTGTCCTCCGCCTTTGTAGCCTTGGCAAATCGCACAACGCTGTATGAATTTAGTTACATCTCTTCTTAGGTGGGGCCAAAAAAATCGCCGTTGCAGCTGAGCAATAGTATTATCCCGTCCGATATGTGCAGACATGCCTCCGGCGTGCGCTTCCTGGATCAACCTTTGCCGCCAGGATGACTGAGGCACACACAACAAATTATCCTTGAAAAGGAATCCGTTTTGTATGGAGTAGTCAAGCACTGGCTCTTGACTTATGCATTTACTCCACCAGTGTTGGAAAAATTCATCGCTAGGATATAACTCTTGCAGCCCCGCCAAACCATTAAACTCTGTTTCAAATTTAGTTTAAATAGCCAACCTTCGGCTCAATGCATCGGCCACACGGTTTTGAGTACCGTTTTTGTGCTTCAACACAAAAGTAAATTTCTGTAAAAATATGATCCATCGAGCGTGCATTCTGTCGATATTTTTTTGAGAATTGATGTATTGCAGTGCTTTATGATCGCTGCTCAAAACGAAATCTTGATGCATCAAATAGTGCTCCCACTGCTTCAATGCGCGGACCACAACATATAACTCCTGCTCGTACACTGTCCATCGTTGCCGTGACGGACTTAGTTTCTCACTAAAAAATTCCACCTGTTTGTTGTTTTGGGACAAAACCGCGCCAATGCCCACTGTCAAAGCATCAGTGTCGACCATGAAGGGCTTGTCAAAATCCGGTAATGCCAATACCGGGGCGGAGGATAACGCTGATTTAATAGCGTTAAAGCTCCTCTGTTGCTCTTCAGACCACGAGAAATGGGATTGCTTCAAGACATCGGTGATCGGTGCGATCACAACACTGAACCCGTGAATAAAATGGCGGTAAAAATTCGCCAATCCATGGAAGCTGCGAATGTCAAAAAGAGATCGCGGTGTTGGCCACTCCACGATAGCAGTCACTTTGCGGGGATCCACTATAATTCCCTTAGCCGAAATAAGAAATCCTAAAAAGGAAACCTGTGTCAAAGCAAACTCACATTTGATAAGGTTTAAATATAGCTTGTTTTGCTTCAGAATTTCAAAGACATCAGTTAAGTGTTGGATATGTTCTTCCACCGATGAACTGAATACTAGTATGTCGTCGAAGTACACGACACAGCAGCGATTCAGAACTGGCTTCAAGACGTCGTTCATTAGACGCATGAATGTGGCAGGCGCGTTGCACAATCCAAATGGCATTACCTTCCACTCGTACAAGCCTTGACGCGTCTTAAACGCGGTTTTCCATTCGTCGCCAGGACGAATTCGAATCTGGTGGTACCCGCTCCGTAAATCAAGTTTAGAAAATATTTGAGCTCCCGACAACTTGTCGATCATATCTTCCATTCTCGGCATCGGAAACCGGAATTTAACTGTAATTTTGTTTATGGATCGACTATCCATACACATCCTCCAACTACCATCCTTCTTAGGCACCAGTAATGCCAGCACTGCACATGGACTAAGAATTGGCTGAATCAGTTGCTTGTCTAGCATTTCATCCACTATCTGTTGCAGCACCCTATGCTCATTCGGGCTCATTTTATAGTGAGGCAGATTCGGCAAATTTGCTCCAGGGATCAGGTCTATTTGATGCTGAATGTTTCTCATTGGTGACAGTCCGCTGGGCAGCTCTGGTGGTGCAATTTCAGAGAATTGCTCAAGTAATGCTCGGACTTCCTCAGGAATTATATTTTCCTCCGTGGAACTGTTCTGTTCTTTGACAATCAAAGCCATCAACTGTGATGATTCCTTCCAGGCATTTAATAAGACCTTCCCCGTGACAGCTACAAGAGACGCCTTAGAATTGGCATTATTAGCATCCAGATCAGGACTCCGGGGCAGTAGTCTTAAACGTCTACCTTTCCATTCAAAGGAATACGTATTAGCTCGACCATCGAAAATTGCTCCCGCATCGTATTGCCATGGTCTTCCCAGAATCAAATGACAGACATCCATATCTACCACATCGCAAAGAACTTCACTTGCATAGTGTTTGCCGATGGAGAAATTAACCTTGCTCATGTCTTTTACCGCCATGTCAATCCCTTTTTTAACCCAACTTATTTTATACGGGTTAGGACTTTTAGATGTTTTGAGCTGCAACGATTGTACTACTGCACGGGAAATGACATTTTCCGTGCACCCCGTGTCAATTAATACTTCACAAACTTTACCCATAATAGTGCATTTTGTTTTGAATAAAGCATTCCTTTGAATTTTGGCGGGTCGCCGAGGTGCCAGAAGTAGGCGCTGCAGCACACAGAATAGGTTCTCCCTCGTCTCCAACCACGTCTTCTAGCCGTTCTTCTACTGTTTCAAAATTATCTTCTTCTCCTTCCTCGTCTTCCCCTTCTAGTAATTGAAGTTGTGCCCGCGTGGGGCTTCTGCGGCCGGTTCCCAATTTCACCTGCTCTGCCTGTTGAGATAGTGCCTCTTTGACTGTAACTCAACTTTAAGAGCATAATTTACAGCTTGGGATAGTGACCAAACTGAATTGAGCTCTAACTTGTCTTGAATAGGTTCCTTCAACCGCTAACATACCTTACCACCAATTGGTTTTCAGATTCGTTGAGATTGTTCCGGGCACTTAACCGATAAAATTCTTCGGTATACTCATTCACCGACTTGCTTCCCTGCGAGGAATGTTGATACTGTACGTACATCATCTGTTCGTAATCGGTTGGTAAAAAATGTCCCTAGAGTAGTTGTTTCATTCGAAACCAGCTCCGAACTACTCCCTTGCCATCTCGCCGTCGGGATTGAAGCACTTGCTGCCACCAAGCGCTGGCGCCCCCTTCAATCTGCAGGCAACGTATTTCACTTGCCGTTCCGGACTAATATCCATATACTCAAAAAAAGATTCAACAGATCTCTCCCAATCGAGGTAATCCTCGATATGCAACCTTCCATCGAAAAATGGTATGTCCAATTTGATTCGAAAATCTCCTTGCATTCTGTCTCTTTCCGCATACCTTCTATGATTCGGGATCAGTTCGTCTTCTGAATCCGATTGTTCCACCACCCGGGCATGTTCAAATTCTTCATCTGAATCGGTCATCTCCGGCGCTAGATCGTTCCGTTGACGTTCTCCATCTCCCATGAACCCACGTCTCGCTGCGTGTCCCCTAACCGGACCTGCTGTTCGAGCGGCTTGGTTCCTGTCAAGACGAGCATTAATCAACCTTAACTCCCGGCGCATCTCCCCGAAGAAACGGTGCACATCCCCTGCCATTTCTTCCATCCGTCTCGCCAATTTGCGGTGTTCGGTCCAAAGATCTTTCAGGCTGTGTTCGTCATCGGTAGCCACCCGATTACTCCCTTCTGCCATCCTTGCTCTGATCATATTGCCGAAGCTACTCCGTCGATCACTGGCTACCTGCAAGAGATTGAAACAGAGGAAAAATATGCAAGTGCAAGAAGCAATGGAACAGTAAAACTTTCTTCTATATTCTTCAATGCTTGCTCTTGCCGTAACAAGGCTACTTCTACCTTCTTGGCTTTGCTACTAACAGCCGTACACGTGGAAAGTACTGAAAAGTAAAATAACTAACTAAAGAAACGAGTAAAGTGGAGCACATGCCCACTAACGCTTAAGCAGACACAATAAGCAGGAACTATCATGATTAAAATAATAAAAGGGTAATTATCTGGAATGCCGATGACTGCATCCAAGGATGTAATGTCGTGCACCGCATCAACCTGGTTTGGCTTTCATAGTTTAGTACCTCTTTAACTTCTTCCATTGTCCTTGTTTCAACCTCAACAGGCATCTTAAGATTCTTTTTTTCCAAGAATGAATCCACGTATTTCAAAGCATTTGCAACACCTCCAGCTATTGATACATGATTATCTTTAATCATCACCATTTCAAACAAGCCCATTCTATGGTTTTTTCCTCCGCCTATTAGTACCGCCTACTTATCCAGCAAGCGTAGACCTGGTGCAGTTTTTATTGTCTCTAAAATGCATGCAGGATATGCAGCATCAGCCATGACCTTAGTGAATGTTGCTATTCTACTTATTCTCTGCATGAAGTTCAGTACAACCCTCTCGGCAACAACAATATTATGTGCACATCCGCATACTTTCCTAAATTGCATGCCTTTATTAATGTAGTTAACATCCCTCACAGACCACTCAACCTTCAATAAAGGATCCACCTGATCAAAGATAATCTCCACAAGGGCAATCCCCACAATGACACCATCCTCCTTTGAATGAAATTAGCGTAAATCCAACTTAAATCCCGCTGTAAATCCGATACCAAACAGCCCCTTAAAGTTATCATTTTTGCTGTTTGGCAGGCTAAATCCTGCTCAAATCTGGCATCCAAACATATCCTAGGTCGTGCTCATTTTTGCCATGGTTGGGAAGAAGCGGAAGCAGCAATCTACGCCGCAGCAGAAGCTACAACACCAAATGCCTCTTGACGCGGATGACGACTCCGTCTCATCGAAGAAGATTGCTCGACATTCTAAGCAGCACCAGAAGGGAGATAAGGCAATCTTTCACAATTCTGTATTTTTCTTTCTCCGTTTCCTTCTTCTTGTTCTACAAAACAAGTAGTCTTAACTTTTTGTAACCGCTGGACACAGTTGATATCCTCCGATCTCAGCTCCAAGATCCTTAAAGAGTCTCTCAATCAGCAGAAAGAAATTCTTCAGGAAGAAGAAGAGGCAGAGCTGAACATTGCACCATTTTCAAGAGTGGCCGAGGAGAACAGTGACGACGAAGGTTACGATTTTGATGGGTTCTTGGAAACCTTAAGTTCACACGATTTGGGCATTGTAAGTTCCAGTAGCTCTTTCTACATTGTCATAGTTTGTCAATTGATTTAATTTATTTGAAATTTTTTTACAGGAAGAGATCAATGAAGAAGATGAAGCGGCTTTGGCAGTTTTCTTTGGAAGTGATGCAGGTCCACAGCTCACACTGGCGGATATCATTATCAAGAAAATTAAGGAAAAGGATTTGCAGGCTTCGTCTGGTTAATTTCTATACTTTTTTTTCCTGCTGCTTTTGCTGTATTTCTTTCGATATGGTTTTCTTAAATGGTATTTCTGTGGTTGATTTGTATTATCGCATTATATATATATATATATATATATATATATATATATATATCACTTTGATCCAAGTTTCAATCAAGTCCAAATTGAAACCTAAAGTATAATTGTTGCATGAAGTACACAATGCTACACGGAGCTTATATGAAATGCAATACTTTAGCTCACCTAGGGTTTTATCATTCAATTATTCATATATTAACAAAATTCTATTGAATTCAAGTGGGTCTGGCCACCATACTCCCTCCCTCTTTTTCCCCCTAGTCTATCAAAGGAGTCTCTTCACTTGGAAGATTTTGGCTAAGCCTCCTCTTATCTCAAAATTGCTCAAAATTGAGCCTCACAATCTGTCTCTCTAAAACACCCCCCTCTCTTTAATCTCTCTATGCTCAAGTGTGCAAGGAGGAAGGGTGGTTTTGGAGCAATCAAGATGAAGGTAAGGAATGCGTCATCAAGTGATGTAAAAGGAGGGAGCAAGCCAAGAAAGGAGAAAGATAAAAAATAAAGAGATCAAAGGACATTATGATAAAAAAAGTATACAAAGATATTTGGTTAGCCTATACTTCCATAACTACTTCTTTAGAATCTCATTTGAGCAATCTCATCACTTCTTTGATTTTCACCCAATATCCCTCACGGGCCTTAGCTTATTGTCATTTGGCTGATTTTTATACAAAAAGGATAATCTAAATAGAGGTTTCTTTGTGTAAGTTCTCGCATTAAATCTTTCATATGTATAAAACATTTTGTTTACCTTTATACATAGTGATAGCATATTTCAAAATACTATATATTCCTTGAGTTTTTTATGCATCTCTATGTGATTCAAAGTTGGTTTACCGCTCACTATTGCACAGGATTGTTAGTGATTTGCATATAGCATAGATGTCTTTTTTTATAAGAAGCTTTGGTCATCTTAATAGATTAGATTCTCCAAAATGGTTTTATTGATTATGTAGTGCATTGGTTGATGAGCAAGTCACTAAAAGGCATAATGGGGATTTTTTGTATATTTATTTCTCATAGTTTCTTATTTTTCCGGTCAATATGTATTTTCTCTGCTTTATATTTCTTCATCTAACAAGTCAAGTTGCAAATTTAGTAGAGTGAAAAATTGGTTATATCATATAGTTTTTGATGAATTCTTCAGATCCTGCAAAGTAGTATTTAATTGAGTTTTTTTAGCATGCATTTTTCCTCCGCCAAACTAATCGAGTCACTAAAATGCAGAACTTTGTAGATCTGGTTGATCAGCTTTTTTGATCAACTCATTACTATGATTGTCTATCTATTTTAAGTTATTTATAGCATAATAGATATCTTGCAATTCATATCATGTCTTATGTGATTTATTATAATCAATATATAAATGAACATTTATTTTGTTAAAGATGTCAAGTTACTGGAAAGCTTTTTTTTGTATTTGTAGCTAATAATCAGTTTGCCCAATTTCATTTCAGAAGAACGACCTATGCCGAAGTTTGATGATGGTATCATAGATGTATACAAGAGGTATTCTCTCTATCACTCCCCCCACCTTCACTCTCTTTTCTATTCCATGTTGCCTCATCCCAGATCCCTCCCCTTCTGCCTATTCAACTTTCGATTTTTAATTTAGGTATATATGGCTTTTAAATAAATACAATATTTACTGTATTGTAGAGTCGGAAACGTGCTCAGTAGGTACACAAGTGGCAAAGTACCAAAGGCACTTCAACGCATTGCAATTATGGAGCGTTGGGAAGAAGTTCTTTATATAACCGAGCCAGAGAAATGGTCTCCAAATGCGTTGTATCAAGCAACAAGAATATTTGCATCAAGGTTCAACCCTAGCAGGGCTCAACGGTTTTACAAGCTTGTGCTACTTCCTCGTGTTAGAGAAGAAATACAAAAGAATAAACGGCTTCATCGTGCTATTTATGAAGCAGTAAAAAAGAGTCTCTACAAGCCGGCTGGGTTTTTTAAGGGAATTTTATTTCCCTTATGCCAGGTATGCAAAATACTATTTATTCCCTATTTATGGAGGATTGTTTCAGAATATTGAATTTGAAAATAGCTGTTCCTCCATAGAATTATTCCATCACATTTGAATTTGAAGTTAGTTCCTCCAGTAGAGTAATGTTTCATGTTTAAAAGTTTCATATATCTGTTGCTTCTTTTTTTTTTTCTAGCTTTCCTACTCTTTGATTAGCATTTTATCCTCTTATTTTGTTCTGTTTTGATTGCTCACAAAATGATCCAATTAAAGCTCGATTATTGAACACTTCCAGTAATTCAAGTGATAAACTTTTGGCAGATCCATTTTTATTTTGCATTTGCTTACTATATTTTGACAATCTTCATTTTCAAACTGCATGCAGTCACAGACATGTACCCTTATAGAAGCGCACATTATTGGAAGTATCATTCAAAAAGTATCTATACCACCACTTCACTCTAGGTATGACGTATGAAATTTGTTCGTCTGCTATGGCGGAATCCCTGTTTTCAAACTTAACTCTTAGACTGTCTAATTAATTTATTTTTGTAAGCTAACAGTGTAGCATTGATGACATTAGCTGGCATGGATTACTATGGGACAACTAGGTATGCACTTTTTTCTATTCTTAAACCTATTTTTCCCTCAATTTCATGCATAAAGTGGAATTTTCTTCTACCGCCCTTAATTTTCTTAATAGTTAGCTTGAAGAATTCATGAAAGCTTCACTATTCAGCAAATCAGAGATTGTATCTATTTGCTGAATTTTGAGGTCATCCATGCATGTTGGGTTCAAAATAAATTTGTCGATGTAGTTTGAAAGATTGCATTAGCTAACTTTGATTGAAAAACAAGATCGGAATGCTTGGAAGCTCATCTCGAAAACTACTTAACTTTGTATATGATGATCTTAGTCATTTTTTTTTCTTCCATAAGAGCTAGATGCATAAGTAGTTCATATCATAATTAATGGCAATACTTTGTAAATATAATATAAATAGTAGTTTTGATAAATTTTTAATTTTTCGTTTGCCAAATTTTTTTTACCAAATCTTGCATCTTTTACCAAAACTTAACAACATCCTATTGAAATGCTTTAACCAATATTTTTCCCATTCATCAGTGTTCCAACTTCAACTTGTTTATCTACTTAAGCTAAATTTCTTCTGTCTTTTCCATTTATAGATGTTTAACTAGCTCAGCCAATAATTAGATGTAGTACTGAAATTTTGAAGATTATGGATAATATGTTTCGCTAACTTTAATATTTGCTATCCACACACAAAATTTTGGAACTCGTTGAAAGGGAGTTTGACCCACTGACATCACCTTTTTTGCTTTCAATGGAACTCTTTCCATCTCTTTATAGCTTTGAAAGAAGAAGTCTACCTTTTCACTGATGTCAACAAAAGTTTTACCCTTCATCAGCTTTTCAACCTGAACTTTTTTATCCACCTAAGTTACATTTTGTCTTTTTCATTAGTGGATGTCTAGCTAGCTCAACCTATAATTAGACATACTAATAAAAATTTAAAGATTGTGACTTATTTTTTGACATCTACACCTCAAGATTTTGGGAGCCGTTGGAAGGGGGTATGACCCACGGATGTCACCTTCTTTGTTTTCAATATATATATGTATAATGCTGCTTAAATTGAATTGAATTTAAATCAGTGCTTTTATTGTTAAATTGGCTTATTAGGCTTTTATTTTTGCTATATCAAAGAGCTTTATTTTTACAATTCACTTTATATGCTGCAGCTTTTTCATAAAGCTACTGATTGAGAAGAAATATGCGCTGCCATATCGGGTACTTGATGCTCTAGTTGCACATTTTATGAGATTCCTCGAAGACAAACGAGCTATGCCTGTAATATGGCACCAAACACTTCTTGCTTTTGTACAAAGGTTAGATTCATGAACTGTTAGTGGAGGGATATCACATGGTAGCTTCTTTGAGATTATATATTATTCTAAAGTAATTTATTTGTTGATTCTTATATTTTTCCAGTTGCAGTTTATTAATTAAGCTGATAAATTTTGTAGGTACAAAAATGAGTTGACAAAAGCGGACAAGAATAATCTGGACCGCTTAATGCATCACCAAAAACATTATTTGGTATTAGTGTCGTTTCTTGCTCTAATCAGATTTCTTGTTTAGACCTCGCCAAGAATACAAGTATATGACAATGTTTTGACTTATTTTCTGCATAGGTTACACCTGAAATCCGTAGGGAACTGAAAAATAGCCGACACAGAGGTGAAAAGGAGGATATAACATTACAAGATATCCTTTTTATAGCGTGTCAAGGCATTTTTTGAATTTCTTCTTGTATATATCTGCTACTTTTTGTATATATAGTAAAAGAATGAGCATGCAACTATATCAATAATTTTTTATAGCCCAAACTTGGAATTCATGCAAATCTTAGACCATTATTTATTGAAAACATACACTGCCAAATTATATAAATCATAACCAACTAGGGTGGAAAATTGTCTCAGAGAAAAATTCTTGCTAGGCAATGCGAATATTTTTGTAGTTTTGTTCTATTCAAGTTCATCATCCATCTCCTTAACTTGCTTTACCCGCTTATCTCTGTTATAAATAAGCCAATTAAGGAAGATAGATGGGACATTCCAGATGTTCCTATGGAGGAGGATTAAAGGTATTATTAGCCAATCTCTGTTAGAACTTCTCATTTGATTGTCAATATGGACTGACTTTTGCACTATCTGCTTCTTTCTAGTCTTCTTTAATAAGATAAGGGTGTACACTGGGTGATCAATTAGACCTTTACTCTTTAAGTTTGTAGGATTTTATATCTGCAAATATGGAAGTGCATTGAGTCTTGATTAGTGTGTAGTCTAGCCCAACTAGCTTGCAACTTATTGATTGAGGTTTCGTTTGGGACGGCTTTTTTACTTTTTAAAGCAGCTTTTTAGTAAAAAATTAAAGTTGCGAGAAAGTCGTCCCAAACGAAGCCTGAATTGTTACAATTTTGTATGGCCTAGTGTAGTCCTAAACTAGTGAACGCTCTCCCCATGATGTGAATGAGTTGCTAAGGGTGTTAAGAATCTATCCAGTGTCAAATAATTCAAATTAGGCAAAAATGGGGCTCATTGATCTTGATAAAACTTTGATCAACTCTTCTCGAGGTTGATCATTCCTCTTCAAATCAATTTGCTCGAACCGACTCAAACTAAGGCTTTGTTTGGGACAACTTTTTGTTGCTTTTAAAAATTAATTTTCATTGCAAAATTTTTTAATTCAAAAAAATTTTATAATAGGAAGTTGATTTTAAAGCAGCAAAAAAGATGACCCAAATTAAGCCTAAATTTGATCATATTTAGCTCAGAAATGTTGAGTTCGTCATCATATGGCATGGAATGTGATTGATTTGGATGGTTTGATTTTGAACTTACTAAATCCTTAGTGAACATGATAAAAGTGGAGACCAATTAAAAATTTTGATGAATTATTTATCTATTACTTTAGGCTTGAAGTTGATTAATTTAAATAAAAATTTATTAATAATAAATTATTTGCTAAAATTTATAATTATTAATATTAGTTATCTTCCCATGAAGGAGTGCTTTGAGGGGCTTTGATTTAGTAAATTAGGCAACTTTGGATTTAGTAAATTCTAAGGGTATTAAATCCTGAAAAGTGTTTGATATGATAAATATTAAATTCTGTTACTGTTTGCCTGTTTGGTAACATCTTTTAGCATTTATGAAAGTTAGAGATTTAAATATGAATATGATAATTATAAATTAAAGATAATCGCATACAATATAACTGAAAAATCAATAAATAGCACATTACAAACTAATATTGATTAGTTATTTATTTTTTGAAAATATAAATTATTTCACTAATATTTGTACTGATGATTTAATTAATTAGTTAAAGATTAACCTAATCTAATAACAATCATACTACTAATAGATATAATAACCAATAAATTACAAATATTAATTAAACTAATTTAATGATAATTATAATATTAATTATTCAATTAAATTAAATTTGATTATTACAAAAATCTATTGCCTTCGTCGATCTCATTAATCAAATTCTACTATTCATTAATTATTTTTACACTATTAATTATATATATTTTAATTTATATTAATTAGTTAAATATATTAATATTTAATTACTAATTATATGATTAATTATTCAATTAAATTAAATTATATAATTAGTTTATGCACTAATTATAATATATTTTAATTAATTTACTTAATTATTAATATTTTAAATTATATTAATTAAGTTAAAAAATAATAGGCGCCTAGGGTTTGCCTTTCATCCTCATTTCGTCGTTGCTCTTCGGCTTCGTTGCTTAGCAGGAGGTGTAGAGATTGCGCGAGTCGCTTCTTCGGCTCCTTCGTTGCTGTTCGACTTCGCTCCTTCGACGACTTTCCTTACCTGTTGGATCGGAAGTTACGACATTTTGATCGGAATCAACTAAGGGAGCTCACTGGCTCTGAAGTAAACTTTCTCCCTTACGCGCGCTTCTTCGGCCAGATTCCGTAAATCCGCCGAACTTGAGGATTTAGTAAATCCGGGATTTTTACTGCAAAAAGAGGGAAACAGAGGATTTATAACGCCGTGAGATTTACCGGGCGCTCAAATCCCGTTTGGCAGGATTTAGCTCAAATCCTGCATAAATCTTGTTGCCAAACAGCCCCTTAGGAAATCCGAGATTTTCGTTTTGTGAGATTTACGGTAAACTCTCCGGCTACCAAACAGCCCATATAAGGCAAATTAAAGAGCTCCGCTTCTTCTCTACCGATTGAATTCCTTCGGAATTGCAATATTTTTATTCAAGTTTGGGATGGCGAAGAAGAAGGAGAGGGCGGTTAATGTCTCGGGTAAGCCTAAGCATTCGCTTGACGTTAATCGCAGCAATGGCGCATCAGACAAAGGAACTAGGTCTGCTGGCACTGTCCGACGGCTTAAGATGTACAACACCCGCCCCAAGCGAGACCGTAAGGGAAAGATCCTCAAGCATGAGTTACAATCGAAGGAACTGCCAAACACACGCATCGAGCCTGACCGCCGCTGGTTCGGTGCGCCTTTGTTTCCCCTTTTTTCTTATTAGTTGATATTTAGGTTATAAGCATTCCAGTGATGTTAAAATGTTTATTAACCTGTACTTTTGTTCTCCATGTTGATTTTTCTTCGACCTTCTTGTGGACTAAAGGGCTTATAAGTTGGGGGCCCAATTCGTCCAAAAATGAAATTTTTTTCCAACCATTGAATATTGCGTTCCTGATCTGTACATACTTGACGGAATCAGGAAAATATTTTGATTAGTGTCCGTCTAACACTTCAAAAGATATTGTGCCTGAAGCGGATAACTGTGACCTGATTCTATGGTAACCGCGTTGCAGCTCGTCTTTTTTCTTCCGAGTGTATTATTGTTAAAATGCAATTTTCATTTGTATGATACATAACTTAAAATATCTAAAGAAGTACATTGCATTTAAGATTTACACTTCTATTATACATACTGAGTGATTTATTACATTGACAAATTAATTTCTGTAATAGGACATACATACATGGCCAGGAAACATCAATGTTTAAAACCATAGTTCTAGCACACTTGTTTATTTTTATGACTGAAATGCTAGTAAAGCAGGTTTAAAGTGTGCACACTATTATTTTATTGTTGTATTTCAGTTGTCATTGCGTGAGTGTGTTCAGTTTTTGGTGTTTAGAGGTTAATATGACTTGTGATTTTAGGTAACACTCGAGTTGTAAATCAGAAGGAACTTGAATTCTTTCGTGAGGAGCTTCAAAATAGGTTATCAAGCAATTATAATGTCATTTTAAAGGAGAGGAAGCTGCCACTTTCTCTTCTCAATGATCATCAAAAGGTATGATTTTACATTGTTTTTCTAACACCATTGCTTATCAGTTCAAGTTCATATTTTTTAAATTGATTATTGTGTTGTCTATTTAATGCCATCACATATATTTTACTTGGCCATTTAATTTTGTCTATTCTATTGTATGCTTGAAGTAGCTCTTTGGTTAGTCCAATTGTCTGAATCATGCAGTCTCTGGCTGAGTTTGATCTTCTGCACGCTCTGCTGAGAATGAATTTAATTATTGTTATGGGGCATGCTTAGGAAGGCTATGTGATCCTTAGGGATTAATGGAAAATTTTGAGAATTAGTGAAAAAATTAAGAGTTGTTTCCTGCCCTTAATATTTTATATTAATTTTTTTTTAATTTATATACTTTATATTTGTGGTTCTTTTGGATTCCCAATCTATTAATTATTTGAAAAAGTACATTTAGATATAGAACTTTAAAAACCGTTATTTTATTCTTATGTTTTGGATTTCTATAATCACAGCAAGCAAAAGCTCATCTTTTGGATACAGAGCCTTTTGAGGATGCTTTTGGACCCAAGAGGAAACGAAAACGTCCAAGGCTTTTAGCAGCTGACTATGAATCATTGATTAAGAAGGCTGATGGATCCCAAGGTATATACTAGGTCTGTGACTTTATTCTTTCCTAAAGGATACATTTGATTGAGCATTCCCTTTGGTTAACAATTGTACTTCAAATTAAACTGAAAATGTTTGGGATTCATCTCTTAAAGTAGGAAACTGTATTTTTTGTTGTTTATGCACCTGTATTTGAATTAGAAAATAGTCTTTAGATTTTTTCTGTTTCAAATTGATAAAACATCCAAGATTGGCAGTCTGATCTTGATAATTTTGTTTTGGAAAAGCTAAGTTACTTTCTTAATAGCTGTCAGTTGTAAGTATTCTCTTCAGTTTCAATGTGATCCATGCAGTATGGGATTGGTTATACTGTAATATTTTTCATCCCTAGTATTCAACTAAACTGAGGAACTATTTTGTTGATATAGATTGGCATTGCTTCTACAACAGATCCATTTTGTACACCTTGATATACTATTTTTTGTTTTATCCTTTTATGTGTCTCATGTGGTTTTCATGCATAGATGCCTTTGAGAAGAAAACTTCAGCCATACCATCTGGAGTAGAGAATGAAGAGGATGGTTTCAGAGACTTGGTGAGGCATTCAATGTTTGAGAAGGGTCAGAGTAAACGCATTTGGGGTGAACTCTACAAAGTTGTTGATTCTTCAGACGTAGTTGTGCAGGTGAGTTGCCATTTCTTTTAATTCTGTTGAATAATTAGATTCTTTAGGGTCTTAATTTGTCCATGTTTGTTGGTCCTTGTGAGATATTTGAGACAGGCACTTAAAAGATTTTAGATTGTATCTAGTCATGCTGATTTCTTTTCTTTTTTTGATATTGACTCAAAATTTGCTTGAGTTTAAAAATTGATCTGGAATTCAACTCAAATCATTTCAAATTGGTTTTGAATTGAATTAAAATTTGGGTGTTTCTAGTGAGCAAAATTTCCATCCCTATCATTGGTGAATATGTTGACGATGTGTTTAAAGTAGACAAATATGCCCCATTACATTGTTATTTTTGGAAATGGGCACCTATTTAAAAGGATTTGCATTCAGCCCTTGCCATGGGAACCTAGTTGAAAGGGGCGAGCATTTAACCGTTACTTTTGCTGAAGACAATAGATGATTTTTGGCCTTAGTGCTTTGTCAGCTTCTTAAGATTTAATAGCATGACAAAGACAATAGCTGGGATTTGTTTGACTTAATATAATCCTTTTCGTCCTTTTGTGTCGGAGCTTTCTAAAAGTTGCTTTATTGGCCATAAATTAGCTTTTCTAAAACAACTTGTAGGAAATTTTGCCTGACTTATCCATTCAAATGGTCTGCACTTCATGCAACTTATCCTGTCACAAAGCAAAATGAAAGCTAAACCAAATGAAAAAAAAAAAAAAAGCTAAACCAAATGAGGGCCCTAATAGCTATGACTTAAGTCATACTAATTATTATGTGGTTTGTTCTGTTAAACAGGTGTTGGATGCACGGGATCCACTTGGCACAAGATGTCGTCATTTGGAGAAGCACCTGAAGGAGAATTGCAAACACAAACACATGGTTTTTTTGCTTAACAAGGTTTGCCATTTTTACAAATTTGTATTAAAGAGTTTACCGACTTGGATCAGATCTCTCCTTCTTCCAACTTGTTTGTGGAAAAGGGATTCTTTAGCTAATGTTTATTTGTTTATTTGTTTATTTTTAGTGTGATTTGATTCCTGCGTGGGCCACAAAAGGATGGCTGCGGGCATTGTCCAAGGAGTATCCTACTTTGGCATTCCATGCAAGCATAAACAAATCTTTTGGAAAGGTATGGTATTGCGTTCGTCTATTTCATTTCTCAATTACTTTTTTTTTTGGGCTTATTGCATGTTGTTGTCGTTTACCACCAGGGATCTCTTCTTTCAGTGCTGCGACAGTTTGCTCGGTTGAAGAGTGATAAGCAGGCCATTTCTGTTGGTTTTGTTGGCTATCCTAATGTTGGGAAGTCATCCGTTATCAACACATTACGTACAAAGAATGTAAGAATTTGTTTAAATAAATTGTAGTTCCAAATTTGTCCAAATTTGCCTGCACATTTTACTGAATTGGCTCGTCTGCTAATTTTGCTCGTGTCTTCTGTTAAAGGTTTGCAAAGTGGCTCCCATTCCAGGAGAAACAAAAGTGTGGCAGTACATTACACTTACTAAGAGGATTTTTTTGATCGATTGTCCTGGAGTTGTATATCACAACAAAGACTCTGAAACTGATATTGTCCTGAAGGGCGTGGTATGAAAGCTTTCCTTTCTAGAATTTTTTTTGTTCATCCGTTTTCTTTGTCATGAATTATTATACTATTGTTTTGAATAGTACACAACCATTTCTTTGATTGAAACTTATAAATCATTAATATTGCTTAATCCTTCCAGTGCAGATTAGTGAAGATAGACGTCTAGTTTACCATCATCTGTTTTGATGGTGAAAATTTCCATCATAATTGTTCTCAATTCCTAGTTTTCTCGATTCAAAACTTAGAATGCCAACATCAAACAAACAAAAACCAAACAAACGAAAACTAAATTAAAAAATAAAAACAACTACCCTCAGAACAACCGACTAGCGGTCACCTCACATGCAATCAAAATAGTTGGTAATATAAAAGATGTGCTTAAGGGCATACAAACCAAGGGTCCACCACAGCTACTTGGGCCAACGTCCACCAAAACTCCTTCGGCAAATGCTACCAAATCAGCCAACCAACACCTCCAATAGCTCAAGAAGAAAGATACAAGTGGAGTGGAACTTGCGGAGAGAAGAAAGAGATAAGAAGCCCAAGACGAATTTGAAGAGAGGAAGAGAGAAATTGAACAAGCTCTCAAGCTTTTCCATGAAGAAACCCTCAGGTTTTTTTAGAGAACTTAGCTCAACAATCAACAACCTTTCATGCATCAAAACATCTCATATTTATTGGATAAAAGGGGCAGCTAAACAACCCAAAACCACCTCCAACCAATCTAATAAAAACAGGGAAAACAGAAGGCCAAAAGGCTGCCATGAACAGCAGCCGAAGTGCCACAAGGGGGCAGGAACGGGCGGTCAGGGGAACCGGAACAGGTAGCTAGGGGAGAAGAAAAGCCATGAGACAGGAATCAGGGGAGAAGAACCAGCCACAGGAAGAGGAGCCAGGGGGAAAACCGAAGGGTCATAGGCAAAGGGGAAAGAATCAAATCCACATCTCTTAATGAGCTAAGAAGGAAGAGAACTATAAGTAATAATGAGCTGAAACATAGCAGCTCATCTTGAATCTAATCCTCCTCTCACACAAGGACAAACTCACTCCCATCTTTGCACAACCCACATGAATAACCCACTCCCATGTCCACACAGCCCGCATGCATAGCCCGCACAGTCATAGGTTAAAGCACGCACAGGTGCACGGGGAAGATGGGCGAGCAAGAGGGTGCTCAATGCTGGAGCACGAGCATGCTGCACAGGCATGAGCATACATATCATAAGAAGAACAATAACGGGTGCAAGCGCATGTGATTTAGAACGCATGGAAGCGCGGGCTGGAGCCGTGAATTGAAACACATAATGGAGATTGAACGTGAGCGAGATTCGGTTTGATTCAACAGATTTGATCATGGAGTTAGTGAAGTGAGCCAGTATGATCGTAGCAGGCACACATGTGGTTCTTTGAATGTAAAAACGGATCAAGATGGAGATTGCTAGAAATTGGTCGGATTTTAGATTATATTGATCTGCAAGACATCTCACAAAATGTAAATCCCTATAAATAGTGCATAGGTAGATCTGTGTTGGAATCCTGTAATAAGCCCATTGAATAAGGAATACAGGATTCTTGTATACTTTCCCTTCTCCCTCTTCTCCCTTCTTTCTCTCCTTCTTCCAAGAAGCTCAAGAAGCTTCTCTTCCTCAAGCAAGAATTGCATAACAATATGCTTCTTCCAATTAGCATTCTAATTTATGTAAGCCATTGCAATCAAACGTATTGGGCCGCCTCATCTACAACGTGAGGTTGTAAGACCTTACCCTTTAGGGTAACTCACAAATAAAATAATAACCCCCAACTTAAATCACATTTGGGCCGCCTCCTATGCTAATAAGCCCGCTAATTTAATTAAACACCAAATTCACAACAAATCAAAATTTACATATAGCCACATTGGTCTACGTGGACTTGAGAGGAGACAACTCCTAACTGCTTAAGATTCTTCGGACATTATAATCTATGGTTCTTTATAATTGGTACATTAAGATCACCGACTGCTAGTATGGCATAATCATAAGATTTTGTTCGGGATCACCTAAATTCCCCACAAACATCTCCCATTAATTCAAATAAATATCAAATTATTAAATTTAAATTTAAAACTATACCAAAGAAATCATCTTTAATCGAGAGACTCTTCCATGAGTAAGAGGGATAATTAACTATATGGGTTTGCGCACATAGGAACTTTAGACCCCAAATTTAAAAAAATTCTAACACAAATATCAATAAAATCTAATTAAAATAAAATTTAATTATAAATTTAAGAGTTTTTAAATTCATTTGAACAAATTTTGATTAAAATGCCCTCACAATTATTATTATTTTTTCCCTAAAAGTTAGCTACAAAGCTTTTAGATTCACCCATTAGAATAGCTACTTCATTGACGTTTTGTAAATCGTATGGGCAAAAGTCATGCTTTAGTTGCTAACATTATTCAGCTAACCATTTTTTTTATTATTATTACATTTGCGTGGAAGAGTCAAAATTTTTAGGACAAGTAGATAAGCGTTGAACAGAATAATATTCTTAGAAAATAAAGATGAATTTGGAAGCCATTTGAGTCCTTCAAACTTAAGGAGATTAGTAACTACTAATTCTTTTGGATAAAATGAATGTTAAATTAACAACTTTAATTAAATTTTGTTATGAAACTCGTGATCCATAGGTTTAAGCAGATCGGGCTCGTCAGTTCATTTGTGAATTAGTCATATGATCGGTCTAATCTATATTGAAAATTGACAACATTAACAACAAACACCAACTAAATCTTTTCATATGGCCCCACCATCGCTTATGAGTTCCTTATAGAGAAGGGCGGAATTGTGTAGCGCTCAGGAGGGGCCTAAAAAAATTAAAACTCTTAGTATAATAAGAGTTATTTATAATATGTGCAAAATAAATTATTTTTATATCTTTATATATATTTTTATTTTTTATAATTATTTTTTCACCCATAGATGGTGTTTAAAAAAGATAAATGTTTCGTCTATGACTTCATTTGTGACAGCTTTTAGTCGTTACTTTAAAAAAAATTGTACTAAAAAACTGTTTTAAAAGATAGTAAGAAAGCGGTCTCAAACAAAGCCTATGTGAAAAGCAAATAAATTTTATAAAAAGTATAATTAGATAGATTATATTTTATGGATGGCAATATTAAAGCAAAAAATATGTCCTACAACTAAAAAAAAAAGTGAATGTATTACATGATTAATAATAACAGCATAGTATATATATTAAGGATTCATTTCAGACAGTTTTCTTGTTGCTTTCTAAAGCAGGTTTCTAGTACAAAATTTTTCAATTCATGAATTTTTTATAGGACATAATGGAGAAAAAGGATTCATGTAGCCGACCCCACGTAGTGGGATAAAGGCTTGATGTTGTTGTTGTTGTTGAATTTTTTATATCAAAAAGCTGTTTTAGAAAGCACTAAGAAAATTGCCTCAAAAGAAGCTTAAACTTAAAGAACTTGAAAAACATGTCAAAATAATCTGATTAGAAGTGAAAAAGATGGGGGAATAGAGTTAAAACATCATTAGCATTTCATAAGAATGATTAAAAAATAAATTATACCTAATTAGTACTTCATAAGAAGAAAATGAAGAGTAAGATTATGCAAAGTGGGCCAATTGGTTGAGAAAAAGTTGATGTTGGTGATGATTTAAATAAGTTTCTTCAAACATGCTTACTCCAAGTTGATGACTTTTCTTATTAAGAAAATGCAGTCGTGATTTGCACCTAATGGAGCAGCTTATTCAAAATACAGTAGAGAAGGACGTTAGTGTTTCACACACTAACATAGCTGAAAAGCAAGAAGCCAAGAGTACATATTGATATAGAACCTTTTTTTAATAGCAATAATCAGCTTTCTTTGCATATCTAGGAGGCGTTTGGGACAACTTTTTTGCTGCTTTTTAAAGCAGCTTCTCAGTACCAAAATAACCATCAAATTGAGTATATGTAACAGTAATGATGGGACCAACAACATACAAAGACGTATGAAATCAAAATCAGATTCAAACAGGACAAAAAATATTTTTATTTCTATTTAAAATTTTAAATATTATATGAACAATTATTAATAAAATTTATAGTGCTAAATGAACATATAAAAAGATTTGAGTTCTATGTACGAGAATCACTCTATTTTTTATTTTTTATTTTGCTCGTTAATCTGTATTGAAGAGGACTAATTTATAGTGATTTTCTTAATATTTACACTTCAAATCTCACCATTTCTTATTTTTTTTAAAAAAACACCTTACCTTATCTTCAAGATGCCAAGAGGAGAAAGACAGTTCTGCTACTTTCATGAAAGAAAGAAAAGTAGGATAGAGTGATAGACAGCCTATCCAACCACAAAAGAATAATCTCAATATTGATATGGCCCCACTTTTGAATGATTGAGCTCCTTCTGCAAATGAAAAAATTATCACAGAAATACTTCAAAAAATCAGATCAACCCCATGAGATGCTAAAAAAGATAAAATCAAATGACAAACAGACTAAAAAAACACAGAGATCTGAAAGGAATATCATTTTGCTGAGACAAACAATCCACAATTTATTCAAAATTCAACAGTAGCAGTTCCTTAAGCTCCACCACAAACAAGACTTATCAACAATAAATTACAACCATGCAGGGTCCTTCAGGTGAGTAACAACTGATTTAATCTGCAGGTAGTTCTTCAGGCTATCTATGCCTTTTTCGCGGCCGTAGCCGCTCATCTTATAGCCTCCGAAGGGAATCGCTGCGTCGAAAATATCGAAGCTGTTGATCCATATCGTCCCAACTCTCAAAGCTCTCATTAAGGTATTAGCAGTGTCCAAGTTCTGGGTGAAAACTCCTGCAGCCAATCCATATTGGCTGGCATTTGACCTTTTAATGACCTCCTTAAGGTCCCTGCCACAAACCAAACAGAAGTTCTTATAAAAAAGATGTCCACTAAAAGCAAGAAAATCTAGTATTTTCTAATTCTCTTCTTTCTAACATAAGAAAATTTGATAGCTCCAAATCGAAATAAAAGGTCATTGATGAAGTCTAGATCAATCTAAACATGACAACCCGAGTTCCCATTCAGATCAGATCCAAATAAGAGTAAATCTACTCTGAAACCAACTCGATGAGCCTTACAACATCATTAATGAGACAATTCATCTAAGAGCTGTAAATTGAGCCAAAACCAGTTCAGAATGAACAACTGCAATAGATTTTATAAAAGTGCAAGTGCTATAACTGAAATAGCTATTAACATGTAAAACAACTCACGAGAACTTCAATATCGATTGAACCGGTCCGAAGATCTCATGTTTTGCTATCTCCATTCCATCCTGGCAGAACCCAGACATAAAAGTTGGTCAGAGATACTTGGAAATCTCAGCTACATCTTGTTGTTGATGAATATCAATGTTAAATAGTACCTTGACATCTGCAAAAATGGTAGGTTTAATAAAGTATCCTCGGTCGCCATGTCTCTCGCCTCCAGCAACAAGTGTAGCCCCGCCTTCAACCCCAGACTTTATGAAGTGCAAGATCTTGTTGAATTGCTCCTCATCAATCTGTCTTTTTACAAGTCAAATCATGCTGGTGATAATAATACTCAACAATTTGAGCTCTGCAAATTAATTGACAAAATAAAATAGGTTTGATAAGATGTAGCGTAAAGAATTTGTAAGGAGTTGGACCTGAGGACCTTGCTCCACACCCTTCTTGAATGGGTCACCTACAACACGCTTTAGAGCTCTAGCCTTGGCTTTTTCGACAAACTCATCATATATGCGCTCATGAACAAATGTCCGTGAGCCAGCACAGCAACATTGTCCCTGTAAGAGATACCATATTCTTGTAGAGTTCTTCAATTTAAGCAGTATAGTAAAATTTTGAAGGTTATTCGCATAGAACCTTATGGTTTGATCTTTTTATGAAAAAATGTATTAGCTTGACACTTTTTAAACTATGGTTCTTAGCTACAAAATTTAATACTAATATCCACTTTCAAAAAATAAAGGAAAAAAAAAACACAAAAGTAGATGAACCTTTGTACAAACCTGATTGAAGAACAAAGCGAAATGGGCGAGCTCAACTGCTTTGTCAATATCGGCATCATCCATAATTATCATGGGAGATTTACCTCCAAGCTCTAGAGTCACTGGTTTAAGGTTGCTTCTGGCAGCCATTTCCTGAACAATCTTTCCAGTAGAGGTTGAGCCAGTAAAGGCAAGCTGAACAACAATAAAACAAATTAACATGAAGAAAAAAAAATACTAAGTTATCTGGGAGGTTAAAATTATAGAAGGAAATTATTCTGAAAATAAAAATTCCAGCTTGTAAACATCCTCATAACTTGTATCATTAGACAACCATATGAAGCAATTTATCTATTTAAGACAAGATGTAAATGCATGGTAATAATATTTCAAATCTCTCAACTGGTTCAGAAAACAAATAGAAAATCTATGCAAAAGAAGCAACCTACCTAACACATCACATGCTTCAATCAAATCATTCGCTTGGCATCCTTCTTAAGATAAATACTAGACAACAACATTTAGAAATGAAGGCCCAATGCTGAGCAAATGAACATGTTGAATATGATGGAAGCAACTAAATGAACCTTGCAAGATACAAGAACAACAACATCAAGCCTTTATCCCATTATGTGGGATTGGCTAAATGAATCATTTTTCTCCATTGTTTCTTAAAAGTCAAATTCTCATTTAAATCTAACAAATAAATGTCATTTTAAATATTTTCTAACTAAGTCTTTTTAGGTCTACCACTATCTTTCTTAACCTAAGTCAAATCTAATATATCTACTTTTCTAACCGGATCATCGGAAGGCCGTCATTTTACGTGACCAAACCATCTAAGGAGTCTCTTTCTAATCTTATCTTCCACTGGAGCTACTCCAACTTTTCATATATATGCTCATTTTGTATTATGTCTCTAAAAATAAAGCCACTCATCCACCTGAGCATCCTCATCTCTGCAACACTTAACTTTATATTATACTTCTTTTTTAATGGCAAACATTCTGCACCATAAACCTTGCAAGATGTTATCCAAAAATCAAATATCATGATACAAATTGTTAAATCAATGAAGCCTGTGAAAGATTGCAAACCCTTAACAACCACGAATATAAGCAACAACAAATCCTGATTTAATAGCTAACATGGAAATATAACTATATACATTCCATGCCAACCTTTTTACTGTGGTTGTTGTACATGGAAAAATACAAAAATGAAAAAAGCTTTAAAAGCATATAACAACACAGGAAAACGTTATAAGTAGGTATTAACATCCCAAAATACTACCTTATCAACATCCACGTGACTAGCAATAGCAGCACCAGCAGTTGGACCATATCCAGAGACTACATTAAGCACGCCATCAGGGAGACCAGCCTGTGCATTTGCAGTAATTATATATACAATTGTGAAATTAGATTATAAAAAAACAGTTTCAATGCCTTAAAAAGTTGGTAAAACGTTTATCAGTTCTATAAGTCATTCAATACATCACTTAGAAAGCATAGAACATGTTTGAATGGTTTTGATTTACTTTTGTTTTCAGATAAAACATGTTTGAATGGTCATACTTATTTCCTGTTTGCAGAATTTAAAAAAAAAACAATTTTGGCAACAAAAAAGATAGAAAATGGAATTGAAATATAATTAATTCATGTACTTAAGTAATATTTAATCCATAATTAGTATATCTAAGCACCAATTATCATTAATTCCTAATTTCCTATTAAATTACTAATTAATAATCAACAATGAATAATCCATCTAAGCACCAATTATCCTTAAAAACCTAAAAGTTATTAATAATCAACAAGTAATTAATATTTTCACTAGATTAACATGTATAAATTAAATTAGGCAAACTATAGATTTATCCCATATGAAATTATGGTAATTAAATATTAATAAAAATTCAATTATCTTAATTAAGATCCTAATTAACCACTAATCAGCCTACATAAATGTTAAATATTAGTTGCTCCATCAAATAAAACAATAATTAATCATGCCAAGAGTATCATAATTAAATACTAATAAACGCTTAATGATCTGAAATAAACACCACTCAACCTAATTAATCCAAGTAAGCTCTTGCATTTATTTCCAAAATATATGTGTAACGTATAACTGGTTTCAAAAATCCACCAAACAATTCACTTTGCTTCCAAGAACAGAAAAATAAAAAGGCATAGTCGACAAATTATTATTATTTTTAATCAAGTACAATTTTTGAAAATGAAAGGAAGACAATAGGAATAAAATTAAGTCCCTAATAGCAATACATTAATTATGCTTCTGGACCTCCCACGCAAACCTCCCTCCCTCACCTAACGTGACTTTTAAGCTTCCTCATCAATGGCCTAAAAAGTGCACAACCCCACTACATGCAACCAGTCACCCCCCTCCCTCCCTAGAATTAATACTACCATAATATGAAGATTATGGAGAACTGCAAGTAAGCCAGAACGATGGTCTTCAAAAGATCACAACAATTTAGTCACAATAACATTGAAAAGAGATGGAAAAATCTAACTAAAAAAACTAAGAAAGCAAAGGAGAACGAAAGTAGAGAGCTCAACCTCATGTAGTAACTTAGCTACTACTAAAGCAGATAATGGAGTCTGCTCTGCAGTCTTTAGCACAATTGAATTCCCACATGCAAGTGCTGGCCCAACCTTCCAGGCAAACATGAGAAGGGGAAAATTCCATGGAATTATTTGGCCTACAACACCAATTGGCTCATGCAATACTTGCACATGATGTGGCGTATCAGCAGGAACAATCAGTCCATGTATTTTATCTGCCCAGCCTGCATAATTTGAAACAAAATGACCATACAAATCATTATTGACTGCAAAAACATTTGAGTTATATGATGAAGCTTGAACTACTACTCTTCTTCACGCATTACCTGCATAATATCTAAACAAACGTGCAACCATTGGGATCTCACCAAAGGCAGCTTGCTCATAAGGCTTCCCATTGTCCCAAGTCTCAAGTGCAGCAATCTCATCATTGTGCTTCTCAATCAAATCAGCAAATCGATATAATATGCGAGACCTTTCCTGAGTATTGAATTAACATAAATGATCGTAAGAAACAAGCATTTGAGCATGCATGGAAATGGAAGAAGAACAGAAGGATGAGATGGATTAAGAGCGCTACATAAGCTGACATCTTCGGCCATGGGCCTTCGTCAAATGCCTTACGAGCAGCCGCGACAGCTCTGTCAACATCTTCAGCATCTCCTTCAGCCACATGAGCTATAACTTCTCCAGTTCTGGGATCTAAGGTTGAGAAGGTCTTTCCTGAAGGTCAAGAGAGCTTGATCATTGCTCTCTTTAAACCATATTGATATCAAAGAAAATAATTTTCGATGATCTATCTCATATACCTGATGCCGAATCAACAAATTGGCCATTGATGAGAAGTTTGGTGTAGTTCACTTGCACGGGAGGTGTTATGGGTTCTTCCAAAGCAGCAGCCGCAGTGCTAAGCCTTTGGATCCCAGAAGAAACACCAGCAATCCTCCCTAAATATTGGATTCATCATGTTTATCAAATTCACTCAATGGCAAACTGAAACCACATAAGATCCAATTCAGCTAGAAATAAGGTTTCGATACGTAGAATAGAAGAAATAACAAAACTAAAATTTTGAACTTTCATTGAAGTTTTCCAATGGTTCCAAAATACAATTCCCAAGTCCGCAAAAATCCCTCATAGACTGTAGGAAAGACTGGTGCTCACAGATATGCACAGATTTCCAGATGATAAGCCAGAAATTTATAAGAGAAAAACGAGAAAACTCGTCTCTTAGTAAGCAACAATTGGTAAAAATATAGAAAAGTTAAAAAACAATCCTTTCCTCTGAAAACAGAGCAACCTTGCTTACAAAAGTTCAACAAATAGGAAATAAAAAATTCAAGTTTATCAAAATAAAACGCTTCCCGAACCAAGAAATCCTTCGTTCTTAAATCCAAAGACATGGAACCAAAGAGAAATATCAAAGGATCCTGATGCCCTCAAAAGGAGATCCAAGCAAACGGCCAAAAATAAAAACAGAGCAACTTTGTAATAAAAGTAAAAAATAGAACTTCAATCCTTCAAAAACATCAAACCTAACAAGATAACTCTCGCAAGCCTTCAGATTGGCAAAATCCACACACAAGTTGTATTTTTTTTTCTCCATCAAATTAGTAGAACAAGTAAAAATGCCAATGAAACAACGAAAACAAGAGATAACATTCCACAACTAAATTTCCAGAGAGCACAAAAAAGTTAATAAAAGTTATTCATTTCAAAACATCAACCTCACCGCCTAAGTAATGAAATAGTTCAAAAACATTTCCTTTCATCCAATATAAAAAAGAGTAAGAAAGATGATGATGAGATTACAAGAAAAACAGAGAGGGGAAGAGGGGACGGCCACCTCGGAGCATAAAAGAGGAAGAAGAACGAAGAACAGATGAAATAGAGCGACAGGAAATAGAAGATGCAATCCTCCGCGCCGCAGCCGACATGTTCATTATTTTTTTGCAAGCTCTTCCTTTGCGCCCTCTCGATTTCAGGATCAGCGCTACCTTTCAAGTTTCACCCGAACTGAAGGATATTTATGCAGTAAGAAAACGTCTAATTTCAGTATTAGCAATGCTTCATCAAAACTTGGAAAGACTTTTCTCCTCTGCAATTAAAGGTCATCGGTGAAAAGCTAAAAACTTGAGCATTTGGTACATTGGAACTGGCCTTTTTTTTGTATGGGCTGTTTTGCAACCAACAGGATTTATCTACTAAATTCTAAGCAGATAAATCCTGAATTTAATAAATTTTGAGGTTGTTAAATTCTGAAAACTGCTCCGCGTCGTCCGAAAATCCGCTTTTCCACTTTTTCCTTTGTTTTTCTCTCTCCTCAGCTTTTTCTCTCTCTTCAAAATATCTCATTTCTATATATATCCAAACTGATCGTCCTGGACGATCGAGCTTCGTACCGGACGATCCATGAAGAGAGGAATTTCGTCCAGACGAAAAATGACATATCGTCCCTGGCGAAGGGTTCACGGGAGAATTTTCGTCCAGACGATCCTGATTTCGTCCAGACGAACCATACAGCCAAAACTGATTTTCTGCACAACCTGTACCGATCGTCCCGGACGATCCAACTTCGTCCCGGACGAACCTGGAGCAAAAACTGATATTACAGTAACTTTCTCCCCTTCACAACCTTCTTTGGCCAAATCCCGTAAATCCACCAAACTACCGGGTTGTTTCGTAGCAGGATTTAGGATGTATTTGAGTCGGATTTGAGTGAAATCCAACCAAATGGCCTAAAATGCAAAACCAAATCTCACGACAAATGAAATCCGCTGTAGACAGAAAATTTCGTATATCCGCTATAAATCTCAGATTTCTGAAATATTGTATTTTGTCGGATTTACGAAATCCATGACACTAGAGGAAGAGTCCGCACAGTAAATCCTGCTCTATAGCCAAACAATAACATGAGATTTAAAAGTATTTATCATGAATGTTACCAAACAATTTTCAAGATTTAAGTCCCTCAAGATTTTCGAAATCCGGATTTAGAGGATTTACGAAATCCTACTTAAATCAAATCTGGGATGCTACCAAATAGCCCCTACAAGATTTAGTAAATCTAGGATCTACTGCAAAAGAGGGCCGTGAGATTTAAATTGAACGTAAATCCTGTTTGGCTATGCTAAATTATGCTCAAATCCGACGTAAATCATATTTCGAGCGAAGGCAATCAACTTTTCCAAAAAAAAAAAAACACACACACACACACAAAAGATAAGTAACTTCATAGCAATGGACAATATTATATCATATTTTTAACTTTTAAGTTGATTTACATATCAAATTATTACTTTTGTTGAGGCTAGTTTTAAAATAAGTTAACTTCAAGTTGAGTTACTTCTCAATGAAGGGAAAGCCGAATGTTTAAAGGGCATAGAAAAGTAGATGGTATAGATATCACTTATAGTATTTTAAGTGGATCTATCTATGTCTATTATAGGAAGAGGAGCATAAGGTTTCATTAAGGAAGAAAAATTACAAATATATTAATTACAAGGTTTCTTTCTCTCTCTATATATATGTGTGTGTTATGTAATAATTTAATAGAGTTTTAATAGAGCTTGAGTTCATCTAATGTGTGTATGTTGTTTGTGATGGCATTCATGGATGGGGCATTTGTAGGTCTTGGCTAGTTTAAGGTTGTTTTAGGGCAAATAATGACATGAAATTTATAGTCAACTAATCCTCAAAACAACAAGGCTTAATGAGCTATGTAAGCAACTAGAGAGTGATCAATCACTAGGTGGTGAGCATCACACGGTCGGCTTACTAGTGCATGATTATGATTATAATGAGTGATGATAATAAATGATAGAAATAATATGGTAATCCAAATAATCTTTGGGGCTAGTTCATTGCTCCATACATAAAGTGGCATGTACCATTTTCTTGGGTGGTTGGACTAAGAAATGATAGTTACGATAGTATCAGGACAAAAGGGAAAATCTTTTAAAATCTAAGAAATAAATCCATTTAGGGATGAACAATAATTCTAAGTAGCCTAGCAATACTTCATCTTATTAGATGCTCCTTAATAATTTGATAAGAATAATAAGAATGATAAGATCTAGGTATTATAACTTCAAACAAATTGGAATTTTTCTTCCTATATTTGGACTAAAGAATTAGGTTGTTCATCATTCTATAAGTATGAATTTATCTATAAATAGGCCTTTTTAACCTTTTATTTTTAATCTAATCAAGTAGGCTAGTTACACAAAGAGATCGGATAAGAATTGAGACTAGTGGATAGATGAATGACTCTAATGAGGCATATGGATTGAGGTGTTACAATTTCCCATCATGCTAACACTATAAATAAGCATTTTTGGTTGAGTTCAATTACTTTATGTGCACATCTCCTTATTTCACATTCCTCGTCTTTAAGTTTTCTAATTATTTTTAGAGTTTTAAACAAACAACTACAGAGAACAATCTTCACAACTTCAAAATGAGAGGAAATAAAATAACATATTTAGGTGAAAGCAATGATAATTGTAATGACATTTATAGCAGTGGCCTCCCTACCTTCCTTCATTTTTGTGATGGTGTGCTTGATGTCATAGCCCATATTTTCACCTATTTTCGCCTAGTCAAATAATATTTCGAAGTCATTATAAGTCAAATTTACAATTTATCGTCATCATAATATAGATATCATTATGCTTTAATTATAATAATTTTCTCCTAATTTTAGGGATAATGTAGAAAATTGATACATGTTGGTACAAGTAGATTTTTTAGGACTGTTAAGTATCTATCTTGCAAACCGATTTCACAAGTTTTTTAGATATGCTTGGAAATTTATGAGTGCTGTAATGGGAGAAGATATTTTATAATAAAATAATATAAGGAGATAAAGGTAATTATATAAATTTTATGTTAAAAACTAAATAATTGAATAATTGATTAATACTGCCTAGCATATTGATTAGGTCTATTCATTTATAGCAATTTTTATCATTATTTTTTATAGTTTCATAAATCTCATTTTACTTCACTGATCGTATTGATTTTATTCTTAATTTAGAGATTTCATATTGCATATATTAATTTATTATTAATATTGATTAGAACTAGAGCAAGTATATTGAATTATTTGTCTTATAATGAAGATAATGGTAAATTTTGGTTACTTGCTTATTTTGTAAGCTCATTATGTAGTTTTTATATGATTTCAGGTAAAGATAAAGAGCCTGTGGTATGAGGCTATACAAAGATACTAATTTACTTTTATATTCAGCTTTTTGGTTTTATATAAGTTTTTTTTTTTGTAACTTATGGTGGTTATTATACATATGTTTTTGAATTTTAGAGCATGTAGCAACCATAATTACTAATGCATCCTTAGGAATTTTATTATAAAATATCCATAACCACTGCATAACCTATTAAAACTTCATTTGTCATTTTTCTTTCATTTTTCCTAAAGCTACAGAAGGGAAAATGAAAATTAACATAAAAATAAAAGAGAGAGGAGAGAAAAACCTAGGTTTGGGGGTCGTAGAGCAAATTTTGTCAGTCCATCCAATTGAAAAATTTGTTCGTCTATATTGACCTCACTTTAGCTGGGGTTATTTGACCCACAATAGCATGATCTACAGTCATCAACCTATGACCTTTTTATTATCAATCATCTCTAGTTTTCAATCATCTAATCAACACCATAATCAATCACAAAACCATTTTTAATCAATCTTCAATCAACATACACTAACAATCAATCAATCAACCCATAGCCATCTGAATTGTAGTCATCTAATATATATCATCACATGATCTATAATCATTCAACACTTCAATCATCCAATTTCCAGTTAAGCTTCAATCATCTTTATAATCAGCACTTCACACTGCAATCATTCAAACTTTAATCTATATTTCCATCAATCAATCAAACAACTATACATCCAATCAAGCTTTAATCTTCCAGGCTCTAATCATATATAATCAATCAGTTAGTCGGTCAATCAATCTAGCATTCAATCAACACTTCAATTACAAGCAGTCATTCAATCTTTAAGTTTATAGTTAATAATCATTAAGCTATAATTACCTAGATAACTACAGCCTTGGACTGCACCTAGGTAGCTCAGTGTACTAACTCATTGGCCTCAGTCATTACTCAAAACTCTTCAGTAGGAGCTCCATATATCAAATCACCCATCATTGTCTATCTTAGTTAGTGATTAATCAAATTGATCCAGTTAAGTTCGCTCAAGGTAGCCTGATTGACCACCAAGCTCAATCACTTTAAATTAAACCCCACATGATATCTAATCTTCATCAAATCACCCTTATTAACCCTCCTTTTGAATTGAGCTTGATTAGTCATATTGACCCAATTAGTAGTTGACTTGGTCAACTGAAACCAATCCTAATCAATCCAAGCTGGTTTAGGTCAGTCCAATGAATTCAATCTACCCAAACACCTCAAACCTTCAACAGCACTCTACGACATGTTCTAAACATTTCGTCATTTCCTATATTAACCTGAGTCAAACCATGCTTGGTTTGAGTTAGTCAAACCCCCATGTATGGTTAAACTTTTTCATGCATGGATTCCCTCCATTAAACACCCACTACCTGGTTTTATACCCTTTGAGTTCACTCAAACAACAAGCTAACCATCACCTCAAGTCTACCTAAGTAGCCTTGACTGGTCAAACCAATCAACAAAGCTTAAAACCCTTTCTAATAGTCAACCTAATCAACCTGACCTTCCCTGCTTGAATCCAAACCCATCTAGCTCACCCAACCACCTCAAGAAACTTCCCTAGAACTAGCCCAACCCAGCCCAGCTGTTGGTCGAGCCTAGCCACGCCTGAGTGGTCCCCTCCACCTGGACACTAAGTCATTTTCACCTGCTACTGCAAGTCTCCCCGCTGCCTAACGGCCTAGAAAAGCTGGCCTTCATTCATATAGCACCTCTGAAGCATCCTGACCATCCAAGCTATAATGCCCTAGAATTTAATTTAAAATAATTATATTTTTATCTTTAATTTACACAACCAGAGCTATCTAATTTTTTTTAATCAATCTAAATAACAGCAAAAATAAAATTATATATCAAAACATCAATATAAATATTTGTATTCA